ATAGACTTGTTCTATATTGATTTCCTTGATAAAGCTAAACATTAGAAGAAAGATATTCCAGTTCGTGTTTGATGGATTACTCTATGTACTCGATATACATTAGTACACAACATTATATATAATTCACAACAGACTTTATTTGATTATATCGTATGTCTTAACATACCAGGAAATACATGAAGCATGTAAAAAATGTGATCGCCGCCATCGCGAACGTGCATGCCGTGATGGCTCGTACATCGAATAAAATTAGAACAAAGGATCGTAGAGACGCGCGATGTTGTGTCAAGTACGGACATAAATAATAAGTTACAAAGTTACAATATATAAATATCGGAACGAAATATACATCGCGCATTCATACTAATAAACTTAATCGCCTATTTGCTAGGATCACAGTTACATTTATAATATTTGTAGGTCATTATATGCCGTTTTTTGTTCCGGCATCTTATCGTCGAACATTGCCATGTGTTGTCGTTATTCCCATGTCCGTATATATTATATACTCAAAGTAAAATCTAATACTTAAAAATGATAACGATTTATTCTCAAAGAAGCATCTTTGTTTCTGTGAAGGATACACCGTAGCGTCTTTCGTATTATGTGGATACTAGAATACTTGGCGCGCGAGACGCTACCGCGTTTCCTGATTAAAATAATAATAACAATGATAATAAAAATAATAATGTTGTTCGAGAGCCTATTATGACTAGGTGATATTCCTATGTTCTCGATGGCGTTATCTAGCGGTAATACTACTGTCGCGTTTCGATAGAAACGTGAGTGGTGTCGATTATACTTCGATTAAAAGTAACTTTACAAGCGCGTGATAATGCATTTATAATGTTATGGCTTAAAAACAAATTTTACACTGTACATCACTGTTACATCGCCCCGATTAGATAATTTGAACTTCTCAAAAGCTCGTCCCCTCGTGATCCTCCTCGCCCTGCATTGAGTGTGTGAGATTATAGCCGCGGTTGAGTGAGACCACAGTTGCATTTGCGATCACCGAATGTTGTCGAGGAGAGGGGCTAAGTTGGAACGCTATGCACGCATGCTCGCGGTACCAAACCCCTCCGATCGCCTTTTGCACACAACAACCACTTGTTATCTACTTCTAATATTACTTTCAGTTTCTCTCCTTCTGCGAACGAAAGGTGACCAGTGTCCGACGGTATCCTATGAGTGAGGGTACGAACTTCTCTGCAATCGAGACGCGCGAACCGTTATCGTACCGATCTAAAGAAAGAGAAAAAGAAAGAAAACGGCTAAAGTACGAAGCAAATGAGCAAACGAAAGTACAAATCACAGCGTAAACGGGCACGTAAATCAGGAAAATTTGCAATCAATATGAAACTTCTATGTAAAAAAGGAAAGGAACAACCAATTCTTGTTGAGAACATTGAGTAGTATCCGGACTTACCTATGCGGTGGCTTTGAAACTGGATTCCTCGAAATAGTAGTAACATTTGGACGTGGTAAAGAGGTGGAGGCGGCTCGTCTGTGAGGCGAGATTAGATTCTTGTCGTTTGACGTTATTCCGTGCGATTTGTATGGCAAAGAACTCGGTCGCGTCGTGTGAATTCGTGGCGCGCCTAATGCATTCTGATCAACGCGGCTAGTGCGACGCGTCACGTCTTTCACTTTTGTATCCACAGGTTTCTTCGGTATCGTCTTCGTTGCGGAAAACGTGGTAGGTTTCTTTAACGAAGGAATTCCTGATACGGGTGACTTTATTGGTCTACCAACAATCTGCGTGGTATTGGATTGCTTTACTGGCGACGTAAGCAATCGAGGTATCTTCGATTTCCCTAGTGCCCCGAATGTGCGGATCGGTGATGGAGGTGTTGTTAAAGTGGGCTGATTCTTACCGCCTTCCTTGCCAATCATCAATTCCCACTTTTCCTGGAGTTTCCGGAATTTTGTTTCGCCAGTGATACCGTCGTCGTCGCTCGTTTTAGTATCAGGACTTTGAAGTTTCGAGTGTTGCGGCTGCTTACTCACCGCTCTATTTAAGGGGGAATGTTCTAGACTGTCTGTGTAATCTTCGGAATCTTCGGAGGTTAATTTGTCCAACGCGTAAAACGCTCTTGAACTAAGGGCACTACTGAAACGTTTCTTTAGGTTTTGTGGGTCGCCTTTGTGTATGACGCCGCATTTGTCGTCTACGTTGTAAGCAATGCAAGATCTTGGTCGTATCTTTTTCGGGCTAGGAACCATTCCGTAGGATTCAGGTTTTTCGGCCTCAAGCTCCTTCAGAGATATATCGGCATTTCTAAAGTTTACGGCCTGGAAAGTTGCACTGTGTGAATATATGCGTCACATTGATAGAAGATTGAGAATAATGAATCTATTTACTTACATTCATAACGTGACTATTTATACTCCCGAAGCTATTTTGCAGTTGACGGTATTGATAAAGAAGATCCAGATGAAATGGGCAGAATGCAAGCGGATTTAAAATGTATAACAACGAATCAACAATTTCCCGAGCACTGGAATTAGCTAAGGCTCCAACGAACAAGCTAGTATTATTATAATGTTTCCGCAAGATCGACTCGCGGGTACATAAATACGCGAACCACGCATCTAGAGCTCTCAGACTGGAAGAAGAAAAGATAATATTTAATATAATCGATGATTGACTAATCACATACTAATCGCGTATTGAACGAATGAAGATAATACAATAAATGAAATTCATATCGTAATCCAACATTATTATATGTAAGAACATTGATATCAACTCACTTTAGCAAACCAAATACAAATGCATGGAACTTTAGCATTCCTTCTGTAATAACATCTTCGCCGTTGATCCTCTGCACTAGCTCGTTCAACGTTTTCGTTAGAGGTCCTTGTTGAGAACTAGCTTCGACGACCTGCCAAACGCTATTAGTAATTGGTCCAAAAGTGGAGTTTAAATGGGGTTTCAAACCATCCGACATTATAGCGTATAAAGCCGGACATAAGCTACTGAGACAGATCTGTGCACACTCGTTTTTCTCATTGTAATTGTGACGAGTATGATCAGTGTCGGCGTTCCAATACTTCAATAAAAGATCGACTGCTTTGTTTACAGAAGACACCATTTCTGTAAAACATACATGTACCATATTTTAGAAAAATTGACGATAATCATATTCGAAAGTCAAATTGAACTAAATGCGCTTACTTTTCTTTTCCTCTAACTCCATTAATCTATCTTCAACTACTTGATCCTGATTTTGCTCATTTATAACGACATTTAGATTATTTGGCTAAAATTGGTACAAGATTATTTAAGTAATAAGAACACAATGTCTCGTTTACTGCTTAGCATTTTACCTTGGGGTCTAGATGCTTTTTTCTTTGGTGTACAGCAAAACTAACAGTTTTTCTTTGCAATTCACCCATGTCGACGTTTCTAACGAGTGATTCCTTATTCATTCTTAGAGCTAAAAACTTCCTTACGTACGATCTCAGTTTAACGTCGGCGTTCTCGGTATCCCCGTCGCTGCTCTGCGACGAGAGACCACTACGTTTCAAGTAATCTTCCAATTGTTTAACATCGTCATCGCTGTGTTGAGAAGTTTTCGACTCCACATTCGTGTTAGTCACTTCATTCAACCTCTCTGAAATAATTGATATCAAACCTTAAGCTAAAGCAAGATACGCTAATGATAAAAGTCTAATAAAAGAGATATTATGAAAAACAATCGCAGAAATTTGAACAAGTTCCGGATGATCTATCTTCTTACCTATATGATACCTTTCTTCCTCTGTTTCATCGACATCTTTTTCTGAATCGATCGTTTTCCCGCGGCACAATAGCTGCAAGTCGTTGTTCATGTAATATGGTTCTTGTAAAGACATTCTCTTGTTTACCTCCACGGATTGTTCATCCGATTCGCCCACATCTCCCATCTCGAACATGCTGTATCGTTTACTCGCGAGAACTTTGTTTTTTCGCAAAATGCTCCTTGGTAATGGTGGTCGCGGTGGGACACGGCTATTGAAATCAGGTTCGCCGTCACCTTGTGGCAACGATACGGATCGTTTCGGAAGAGATGGACAAGGTTGTCTCGCGTGACTGACTAGCCTGTGTATTTTCTTGTCGTTGTTCACCAGGCTAGCCTCCGAACTAATACTGTCGTAACGATATAGATATAACGGGTTAATTGCATTGCTTGGCAATGGTTGTTGCTGATTTGTCGAAGAATCCGTTAGAATTGTCGACGAGCCTCTGTACCCGGACGATGGTTGCGTCGCGGTGCTACTCGTCGACGAGGTGTTGTTCGGCACGATCTCACTGACAGGCCGAGTCTTGTGTCGCATCGGAGGAGATAAACAGAACAGTGGTCTCCTGACCTCTTCGTTCATATTGATATGTTTCGAAACTTCCGGCACGTCGTGCAAAATTTTCTTGTATTCGTTCGGTAGAAGGAACGTTAACGACTCCCAATCTTTGATGTGCGCAAATCCGCGTTGTCGCAGAGCGTCTATGTCGTTGCACGAGAACGGTCTACTTGTGCGAGCAGTGCGCTTCCATTCCGTCTTATTTTTGTCGAACGTGTGCGGCTTCAGCGCTATGTTGTCAACTTTGGTATCCTTGATGTTGAGAAACGATAGATCAGGCAATGTATAATTGGGATACACCACATAAACGGGCTTTTTGTTAACTATAGTTTCTTGCAAGAGAGGTCCCTGCTCTTTTGTAGACGAGAGGAAAATTAAAGAGGTTTGCACCGCGTTATCCTCCATTTCCGCGTTTGCCTGTATCCCAGTCGTCCGACATATAGGATATTTCTTCTCCATTAATCCGGTCCAACCGTTCTTTTGCTGCTGCTGCTGCTCGAATGGGCTATTAATTATATCAAAACTTCTTTGACCGCTTGTACAACCCGACTTGGATATACTCTCCGATAACTCTTCCACTGACGCTGATGACGTCATTTCTATCTTATCGTCTTTGGCAGGTGACGCACACTTTAGAAAGTTCAACATTTCTCTTGGATTTTCCGTATCTCGATTAGCCATATCGCGCCTGATCCAATTTATAGAGAAATCATCTTCCGAAACATTACGATCGCCATTGTTACCTTGGTTCTGTCGTTGTATTTGAGTGTTAGTGTTGGTCGCGCTGTCGCTGCCACTGTTGCTAGTGGGCCAACCATTATCACTAATGGAATCCGATTGATCCAAAGTGAGACTCATTCCCTCCACACTCATGCTTTTTTGCTTCATGAACAATCTTACAAGACTTAGATTTTGTAATTTTTTGATACAAGCGTTTTCTCCATTATCCGAGCTCTCCGCATTTGTCGAACGACTCATCGCAGACCCAGAGCTTTGTAGCCGTTGTATCGGGTTACTTGATTCGGCGGAATCAACCTGAATGCCGGAGAAAAAATTTATAAATTACGTAAAGTACGATTATTATAGCAAACACGTTAATTCGTTTGTATTTATACTTACGCTAAAATTCAGAGGAATATTGGTATGCTGGAATTCTCGAACGCGAGAAAGATCCGGTAAGCTTTGGCTTCGTTTACTTATTCCACCAAGCGTCAGATTAACAGCACTTTGCAAGATATCCGGCATCGTGTTGTTGTTACCGGAAGGATGACGAGTTATTGCCTTGTTCATAGAAGAGTGTTTCAAATTACTCCACGTTGTGTATATTTTCGAGTCGGAGCATGCCATTGATAAATCCAGCATAGCTTTCGCATTTTTCTGTTTACCGTAGGATAGATCTGGCGACTCATATGTCTTATGTTTATCTGTAAACAGGAATTTAGTTAATTAATAATAACTAAACATTAGCTAAGGGGAAAGAAAAACATATTTTGAAAAACAAGCCTTATTATGTGTATTTGTGATTGGGAAACATTAAAAATTAATTTATATTAATACGTATGCATTACCATGATTTTCAAAATCTTGAGAGCCATCCGAATACATAGTGATGCTACCTTCAAAAGCGATGGTATAGTTGTTCTTATTGTTCGTTTGACAAGTAAGCAACATATCTTCACAGTCCAATGAGTCCACACTGTAGCTACCACCAGGTGGTAATACTGGCGTCTCTTTTAACGGGGAAAATAATAAGGACGACTTGCATATGGATATCGTATCGGCGGTGGAGCATGCGGAGTCTTCTCCCTTAAAATAGTAACATGTATATTATGATTAATACATAAAGTATATTATAAAAGTCTGGATATTCTTTTACAGCATATGTTAATGCAGATTATTGGTGAGCATTAGAACTTGCATTAAATATGATTTGTCAGGTGTAGTCAGGTTCCTCTAGAATTTAGTGATTGTTATCAGGGATTATTAAAGTATCATTAGGTTCCTATTTTATGAAATCTAATGTTATCATATATGTGTGTCCATGCAAGAAGATTCAAATAGTCTATATGTTATTTAGTTAGTGATGTTAATGTGTGGGGACACTGTTTACAGCGATTAGACTTCTGCTTTTGTTAGCCATTATCATACCTGACTACTGGTATGAGGGCTGATGGAGGAACCGATGTCAAGCTTTTCCATAACAGATCCAGATATACTGGCGTATTGTTCCCTTTGATAGTTAAACTGTGGTGATAATGGAAGACGTACGAGACTTAGAATAGTTATTGTACAAAGATTTCAAGAAAAATTAAACAGTTTGCATAAAACTGGATTCCTATTTTAATATAAAGGTCCACACACACATATACTGCTATTTTGTGACATACAAATAGAATGCATTTAACATCAGTTGATACTTTGCTTAGATGACTTCACAGTGATAGTGGATAACATCTGCATCATATCAAACTGTTACCTCAGAATGTTGAACCGGTTCTGTACACATGACAGGTAAAGCTGTAAGCAAGGTGTGAATGTCAGCGGTACGAAAACTCTCCATATCAATCTCTGCCAGGTTAGCATCCAAATTACGGGCAAGGTCGTCATAATAACCCAAATCTTTTGGAGAATATGAGGCAGAGAGCGATGACAGGACACTGGGATGAATATGCAGTCCCCCATCCCTGTATCTAGAAAAAATATATTAAACCATAGAATATAATATTGTAATGATGAGTCTGTGAGATACACGTTGAATTGCTAACCCATAATCAATAAACCATTGATATTCAACATTATCCTGAACAAACTCTGAGCCAATCAGATCCTGCTGAATGGAATCTGTTGCTGGGTTAGAGTTACAGTCAGACCCTGGTGTTTGTGGATCTTCCATTACTGCTGCACCTTCTCCTGCAACTAAAGAGGAAATTGGATCATTGTATCATAAGCTAAAAATATGCAAAATATGTAATCATACATAAGTACAAAGATGAATATCATAATGAATCTATGTCACAAGTGACTATATATAGCATACGCATAATGCAGTCTCGTTTTCTGCACAGAGGCACTTATATAGCAATGTAGTAATTAAAAGAGCATATCGTAAAAATGAGAAAAAAACTTCTGGCGACGAGATGCGATGAATATTTCGAGAGGAACGCGACTCACGCAGAGATTGACTTATGTTGCAGCTCCCATTAGCGGAGTGACAATGCAACGAAAGTTTGCCAAGAAAATCGCGTTGGAGTAGAACTCGACAGCTCAACGCCTCGCGTCATAAATGTCGCGGAAAAACACAACTCGCGCATCACAATTTCGTAACACTACTGTCATTCGTTCTCGCAAGTAGCTCCGAGATTTCCCTCGCTCTCTCTCTCTCTCTCTCTGTCTCTCTGTCTCTCTTTCCCTCTCTCTCTCTCTCTCTCTCTCTCTCTCTCTCTCTCTCTTTCTCTCTTTCCTCACTGTTTCTCTGTCAATCTCGAACTGTATCGAACGAGATCTAGGTACAATTACAATTATGTTTATGATTTTATTTCACATCATATGGGAGATCTATTCATTTAAGTCGCATCTTTTTATTCGATCTTTGTATTTAATACGAAATAATTAGGTATGCAAGTGCCGAAGGAAGAGAAAAAACAGTGGAAAGAGGCGAGGTGTAGAAAGTGTAACTAAAGGAGATATAGCTGTCATTTGTCGACACGTCGATCTATCGATCCATCGACGAACTTGCGATAGTAAGTTAGGTAGTAAACTAAGTTCAGTCAGGACACAGATTTACCATTGACAAGGTTCATCGCGTCGATCCGCTCAAATCTAACGTTGAATTGGAAAATATACTCCCAAATCGTAAAATCGTCGTAACCACGATTGCCGAGCAAAGCAGAAGTCACGGTCCACTCGTCTATGCAATCCTGGTAAGTGTGAATTGTTGGTCGTAAAGTACCAACAGTGGAGGTTGGATTTTATACATATATTGGTAAAGCCGTCTACAACGTACGGGGTAAACTTGGCGTATATTGGAGTAAAAAATAAAGAAAATTTATTCTCCTCACGTGCGTGTCTATATTCTAGTCCCCTTACACCGGAAGAATTTTTCTCACTTAAGAGAAATACTTCCGATATACGGCTAGAGTCTAGAGAGAGAAGGCCGTAAACGAAATAAATTATTTTGTATTTTTTATTCCAATTCACGCTAAGTTCACTCCGTGTATCAGACATACGTCGATATTCTTAATGATCTTGATTTCGACGAAATGTCAACACACTGGATATAACAATATCTCTTTGAACAGTACGATCATAATCAGATACAAGTACAGAACACGCTAATTTGCGATGGCGCGCATTCGAGCTTCGGAAGTACCGTTTGTCGGAAGCCATCTTGGCATTAGCAAAGGACAAGAACACTCAAATTTGTCTCGGCTCGTGTTTCAAAATTGCTGTTAGTGTTGTTTTCGAGATATTTAAATGTGAAATATTTATTCAATTTACAAAGTTACACTTATTTCGTTGCACATGAATGCCCAGTTGATTGATTCTCTAATTTTATAATGACAATGTCACCAGCACGGTGCGTCGTTGTGCAAGTTTTTTGTTATGTATTATGTCTGCAACGACAACTTAACGATAACGACCCTGTCATTAAAAGTTACAAAATCAGTAAATCAAAAGCAGGTATAACTCGTGCAAGTATGAATTCTTTATATTTTTTTAAATCTATACGCGTGTCCAGAAATACTTAATTCCTATTTCATTGTTCTTATCTCATATTTATTTACTATTATCTCATATTTATTGACTTTATAATTATAATTTTTCTAAAGAGCCTGGAATCATGTTATATGATTCCACTTGATTGAAATCGCGAAAAATTGATATACAAAAATGAAACACTGCCCATGTTTATCATGTCAACCAGACACGAAAATTCCATCCTCGCAGATTGCGCTGCATGAGTTTTGCATTGCAAACGTCGCTGTAAAAAAAATCAACGATGGGCAACGGCATGGGCGAGATGTGTTCTTACATTTTCGCAAAGTACACTTGTCATTGCAGGATTGTCGACGATGTTTGCGTTTGGATGAGGGGCTCCTGTGCCGCTTGCATCGCCTACACCGCCTGTTGCAAGCGTGAGGCGGTGGTCGCGCCGACGCCGACATCGTCGTCAGCGGCAGACTTGTGCAGCCCGCGGAGAACTCTGCTATCTTCATGATGATGCACAACAGCAGCACTATCATCATTCGAGTCGAGGTACGTCAGATTCGCACTCGCACGCACTTCGGTGTCCGCTATATCATAATAGCGTTTCGCTATACGTATATCGCGAATTGTCTGAGCGGAACAGTATATAGCGATACACAGTCCGCAATATAGTCTGTGCAGAGATAGCGACAGCTCTTGTTATCGCGATTCCAGAACGATTCCAGATGCAAACCGCGAACTCTTGTTGCGTTTTTAACGCGTCATAACGCCTGTTCGCGACGCTTGACGACTCGACGTGTGTTTTTCTTATATGGTTCTCGAGCATTCGCCGTTCTTAGCGCTCGCGGTTTTCACCGCGACAAATCTTTTCACGCGAAGTTTAATAGGAGAACGTATGCGACTCGATTGAACAATCACGTCCATTGAGAGAAACGATTACGGCATTGAACACTATGAGAAATATGACGCAATTAATTTCGAATATAATTCAGAGATGTTATCAGAGATATTGCTCTTGTACAGAAGTTTGCGTGGCTACTAGTCTGAAACTAGTCTGAAACACTTTGCATAAACATAAGATTTAGAATTTTTAAATCTAACCGATTATAAAATTTAATGAAACCGTGGGGAGGGATTTCGAATTTGAATGGATGTTTCAACACTTCCTACTTATACGACTAATCGATCCGTAGTAAGTGTAAACGACCTTGTGACGTGCACGCATCGAATGCGTTTTACTTCGATTGATGCCACACATATGCCACAACATAGACACTAGACCAGACAACGCGAACTTTTCGGAAAGATATCGTTAGAATCTTATCTTTGGAGAAGATTGATTTGTTAAAAGGAAGAGTAATTATTCCGAAAATAAGGAAGATATCTCGTTCGAGATCTTTGGAGAAGATTGATTTTTTCAGAAAACAATTCGATTATGCAGGAAGTGAAGACTCCAGAAAGAGATAATTCTCGATCCTCAAGCGATTCTCACACCGATTAAATCGTAAGATCCATGGCGCATAAAATCGCACAATGGAGAACACAATGCACACGCCCGATCGTCGCGAAAACGTCATCCGTGGGCGATCGCGCACGCACTCAGCACCAATGCACTCATGGATTCCCGACAGTTATTCACCAAGCACCCTATTTCCGCTGTCACTTATCTGGTCGATCACTCATCGATACGACTCATCGGGAGGCTCGATTCAACTGGTTTGGACGCGCTTTTTTCTTGCAACGATGCAACGCACTAGTTGATATCGACGTGATAACGCGATGATCGATAGAGTCCGGCGGGAAATCACGATCACCAAACCGCGCCGTGACGTTTCGTGTCTCGATCTGCCCGCCGATTTTTACTATCGATCTTCCTCCCCGAAAATCGCGCGTGTTTGGCTGGAGAATTATTTTTCCGCTGCGGAGGCTGACTCAGACTGCTCTCTTACGCGTCTCGCTCTCGCGGGAGGGCGTTTGCACACGGCACCACACGACGCGGACTCTAATCTCTATTAATAAATGCTCGTACCGCCTCGTACACGAGAGACAGAAAGAGACGAAGAGAGAGGGTGGGAGGACCGGGATACACAGAGAGAACTGGGCCCTGCACGAGGGCTCGCCGGCTTGAGGCGCGATGCTTCATGGATTTGAGTCGCCGACACGCTCGGCTCGGTAGACGACGGCTTCGGCGACGTCCGCGACGAACAGCTGCACTGAATCAAAAATGCCGATCGATACCGCAGGCCCGTGCCTCATCGAGAATGCACGTCGATGGAAGATCGAAATTTTGAAACTGGTGCCTGCGAATATTACAGCGTCTCAAGGTGCTGAGGATTGAGAGCGATGGACGGTAGTTTCGGTGAGATGAGATCAATTTCTCGTGTTGCAGCCGCGCGAAAGAGGAATTTGTTTACATGTCAGTCGTCGTGTTTGCAATTCCAACACTGTGGATGAGTATGGGCGATTATTTTCGCGTGTTTATGATGAAAGTATCGGCACAGTTCCCGCGAAGCTCGACGAAACTCTATGTCGGGCTCAATCGTTGCGATATAAAATATCCTTTATTTCGAGCAAAGATTTAGTTTTCGCATGCAATGTCGCGTTTAACCCGTACTCGTAGTCACGACACAATAAAGTCACGCGACTCGAGATCCTTATTCGATTTTGGCGTCAGGAGTGAGAGATAAAAATTTCGGCGCTATGAACGAAAACAGCGCAACGCGAGAAAATTTAACTCCAAATCGATAGCTCAAAAATGTAGTATTAAAATACAATATGATGCAGCTAGAGACATCCTTTATATTCCAAGTATTAGTGCTTTTAAATGAATTTTTACGCGTATGTTCGAGTAGATAGAACATTCACAGCCGATACGTGAGAGAACAATTTCTCGATTGAGCACGCAACATCCTCTATGCAATTACTCGCAGTTTCAATTTTGCATATATATGGTACTTCTTTTACATGTGAGGATCTACCTATATCTGTTAATAGATACAAGCTTCCCACTTACCAATCCGATTTCCGTTGCTACGAACGACGTCCGTTAATAATACCTGAAAATGTCATTCGCACGCTTATCACATGCTCGTTGTGAGTTTCGTTGAAAAATTTTCGCGAAATTAAATTCCGTTTTCGACTGTAACTGTGCGCGAAAAACCGAGAGATTATTTCAATTGTTAAGCGAACGGAGGAAATCGATAGAGTCGAAACGGGAAAAAACACAAGAGCAAACCTCTTTCTCCGGATTGATAAGGTCCAAGCTGCGATATCTTGGGAACGACGATTGTTTTTCAGGTGACTTGAGTCAACGATAATCGGGGTGCAAAGTACCTTTTATGTCACAAGCTTCCATAACTCCATCCGGTGCGTTAGATGCGTGAATGACGTTAGTCGTGATGCTGAAAGTAGAAAGAATAATAAAATGTCGCGATTATATATACATATACATACATACATGCATACATAAATATACATACATATTGACATAAACATATATATATATATATATATATATATATATATATTTATATCTATGTATATGTATGAAGAGGTCAAAGGGATACAATCGGTATGAGATACTTGCTTGCGTGTGATCTGACCGCGTAGGAGTTTTAATAATACTGTGCATCGTAACGACACTATTATTATGCGCTTTGATTATCGACGCAATATGGAAAACTGATTTTAACTGTTATACGTCAACACGATAAATTGCTGCGATCTGTTCGCAAGACGGTTTTAAGATAAAGCGAGAGCCTTTGTAAGGACGGCCGCTACTAACGAATTCTCGTTGACACTAATTACAGAGATCGACGTGAGCCAAGTGTCATCCCCCGAAGGACTTGACGAAATTAATTAAATGTCCTCGATATTCATTTAACTCGCTCGAGTTTCGCTTAGTTCCCTGAGACGGTTGAGCCGATCACCGTTGTATCGAATCCTTCAACTTCGGTCGGTCGATCGTTCGTCGGTCTGGAAGTGGCGCGATTTTATCTCTATGCACTGATGAATCGAAACATGCTGCAGAGCCGGTATTTTTAGACGCCGCGATCGCGCCTCCGCCGCATGTCCGCAGATCGCGATCGGTCGATCGCGGTTGCTCGCTTATCGCGATTGACTAACTGCGAGTACAACAACTGGCGATTGTTGTCGCATAAGTGAATGAAGAAATCGTGCAAATAGTAGACAAACTCAAATTAACTTTGCCGACCGGAATGATTGTCGCGAAATTGAAGTTTTCAGAAGTCTAACGATCGTTAATTCACTCGAATTGACCCACTTCCTAAAGAGCACCTTCCTAAGATAGGTAATTTTTAAACGCGAGCTAAAATTAAGATTGAAGTTCCTTCCAAAGTGAGAATTGTCAATTCCTTCGAATTGACCTATTTACATATGGACGCGCAGCTTTAGGGTAGAGATGAGGGAGGTTTCTGACGAAATACACACCAAATTTTCTTGAACTACACAAAAATATCCGTTATTTTTTTACACTTGAATAAGAGATTTAACAAACGTAGAGCCATTCAAGGGAATTCGAGCACAAACTTGGAAATGTAGATAGAACTAGTAGAAGGAGCGAAAATTTCTCGAGTAAAATCGACGATTGTTACACACAAACTTAGATCTAATAGACGTTATTTAATTGAAAAAATAGCCAACAGAAAGATCGATTTTATCACATTTTAATAGACCGGTCAACACGAATCTCGAATCAGAATTCCGTCAAAGAAACGCGTCGAATAATCGCGAATATTTTCGCACATATGTTACATTGCGCAAAACGTACTTCAATGCATTTCCTCTTTACCATCGCGATTCTTGGAAAGTACAACGAACCACTGGAACGACTCCGTTCGCTACCGGTTTAAAGGGTATCTCCTCATCGATTTTACAGGACTTTCGAGGTCAATGACGTATCACGCTCGTACATCACGATGATTCGCGATGAGAAAGGGATTATTTCGCGAAAACGCGTGTCGCGACGGAAATCGTGGTCGCGCGGAAATGCGAAAACGTAGAAACGCCCACGGAGCTCGCGTCGCTCCGCGACGAAAACTAGTCGATATTAGAGACGACTAACATACTCACGTTCATGATATGAAGGGGCAGCTGATGGCCGTACTGTTACGCGCAACACTCACACATCCGATCCGTATGTTACGACATCGCACAGCATTGTTCGTCAATTTTTTATCACGTTATTACGCAATATATGTAAGAGCGAGTTATTGGCCGATTATCAAATCTCACGACGGAATACACTTTCGGAAATGTATATCCTGAGTCACTCTGGTCGAGCAGAACCCCTCCCTGATCGCGACAACCCTCGTGCAACTGCGAGCGCGCATGCCCTTCGAACGGACCACCGCACCACTGGTCGTTCATGAAAGGCAAGAAGGGGATGATCCCTCTCTTCACCCTCGCGAGACCTCCCCGCGCGCCTAGGAGTTCGAAGACAATCGTCGATTGAGAATTAAGCTTGAACGCGTCCGTGGATATCGCATCATTAGTGAAACACTAAAACAATTGATTTTTAGTCGTTTTTCAACAAATTCAGTAATTTTTTGAAGAAATGCATTGTCAAGTAATAACATGCTAATAACATGCAACTACGATAAATATACAATTCTAATATAGAAATAATTAGTATGTAACTGTGAGAAATAAGAAATTATTTTGTATATTTTTACAATACCATATATTTATTCATTTAACAAATATAATGTGCATTATATTACTACGACTGTTGTCGTTGCGTATCGTGCAAAATTTGAAAATGTTCAAGATGTAACTATATGATTTTTTCAAGATGTAATTATATGATTTTTTGGCACTATCACATCAGTTATCGAATTCTTTTCTAATAATTTTTTATTGTCTCTCTCAAATAGATACACACATGACGTTTTTATAAAAAATATAAATTTTTTATAGTGATACATATAAACAACGCACAAGCACAATACTCGAAGACAATAATAAATGTTTGTAGAAAAATAGTCTACTTATACTAAGTACGCCGGGAAATATTCAGCGAATTCTTAATATTATGTATTAAGTTGGTGCAAAAAAAGATTGACTGCACACAAAATATATAAAATGTATTGCAAATACATACATACATATATATATATATATATATATATATATATATATATATATATATATATATATATATAACAAACAAAAATATCATCAAGTTAATATCATCAAGTTTTCTTTCTTGCCAAGTATATTTTTCTACATCAGATTTAGTTCTATAATTTTATTCTTGCAAATGCGATAATTAAATCTCGCAGTAATTATATTAAAGTAGTAATTTTGTAGTAGAATGTACTTATATATACAGAATAACGATAAATTTTTTGCACCAACTTAATATAAGCTTTATTTACTGTTTTATTCTCTTTTTTAAACATCTCTTTTCAACTATTTGTAGCTTTGTATAACATTTATACAACTCTCTTATTAGTACTGTAGATGTACAATGATGCAAAACTAGTCATCGAGGTATAGTTGGCATTATATTCGAAGAGAATATACATTCAACTTGAACAGTTGCAAGTTCTGGTTAATCTTATTAACTCGAACAGAATTCTAGTACTTACTAACTTTAACCGAAATTTTGGTTTGCTCGTATTTCACCAGACTTTTGGTTAATTCAACCAATTTCTCGTATACGTAATGTACAAGAATTATATTTTTCATACGTAGAAGCACTCCACACGCGACATTAATATATATGTGTGTATGTGTGTGTGTGTGTATAAGTATAAATATGTATAAATTACAAATACGCAAAAATCGCAATATTACATTTATACCACTTAGAATCCTTTGCGCGCAACACTATTTGTATGAGGTGTTATAATTACTAAAAATAAACAAATGTAATTTATATATATATACATATAAATTACTTTATATACATATATTTAACAAAAGGATGTCTTTAAGATTCATGATATTTTTCTCTCTATAATCATATTAAGTTAATGAATAATAGAGGTAGGCAAATTTTGTAAACGAAATATAAAGAATATGATTGACAGAACACAATACGAAAATTAAAAATAAGCGTGATGTTTTGATACTAGAAAATAAGCATGATGTTGATACTAGAAAATTGCCAATACTAAAAAAAAAAATATATATATACATATATATATATATCTATATAGCAAGGAGAATTGCTAAGGAATGCGAGTCGAATGTGTTTCAAAATTAAATAATAATTAGGAAACAGCTCCGTTAATGAGACATATTTTGTTTGTGACAATAACTTACGAGACCAAGAATTTCCTTAGGGACTAAATGCAAAAAATAAATATGTTTAGTGACGAAAATTATAAAGTTATATCGCTAAACGTATCGTCTATTTTTTGGTGTTTTACGACATCTTTGTCTCCCGAAAATCGCGATTATACAAATGAGGATTATGGCTATGAGAACTGCGCTTACGACCCATACTGCTTTACTGGTGTTAATCTTTGGTGAGCTATCTTGTGTATCATTTCCTATATCGGGCGCCAGTAATTCGTTGACAGGAACTTCGGTTGATCCCGATAAATCAGGATTGTTTGGCTTATTTTTTCGAATAGACACGGATGTTATCAGTTCTGGTGACTTTTCTCCTTCTACCTGCACTTGGTTCGCATTATTTATAGACTGAGGCAATGTAGCTTTTGTCTTTCTGTTTGTAATCGTGGTTGTAGGTGGTGGCGATGGTGGTGTCGTAGTGGGAGCATTTATTTCTGGCAACACGAGCTTCTCCAATTCTTCTAGTTCTTGGTCTTCTTTCGATCCAGATATATATTCGAAGTTTTCTTCATTTATCTCGATAAATTCCTCCAACGGTGTGAAGTATGAAATGAGAGAATCCACGTATATGTCGTCTATATCCAACTTTTTGCTGAGGATATCCAGCCAGTTGCGGGCTTCACCACTCTGTATCATTCTTCTACATACGAGATGTAGAAGATAAAGATAATTCGTTTAAGAATCGTATATTACTAACATAAACATACGTAATATACATATTACATATCGTTGTCTTTACGCTTACGTTATGTTACCTTTACATTATGTTAACTTACATTATCTTCCTGTCCATAAATTTTCCGTCGATGTTGTTATATCTGACTTCGGTTGAGTCTGCGATATATTCGTACAATTGGAAAGCAAGAAACGTGCCAAGGATTTTACTGCGCGTATGAGATATTTCTTATTAATATTGCAACTTGCTTACAGAATTATTATTTTTTAATTCATTGGTATACTTACGGAAGATATGGTTTATTATTAATGATGTAACTATCGTCCAAAAAGGTAGGACTAGTCATGTCGATAGAAGAGACGCCTTCGTATTCTTGCCTTGTGTGTATACAAATGAGATTAATATGTTACATAAACATAGAAATAAATTTGACAAAATAATCCAAGTACTACTTTATAATACATGTAACGTTTGTGTTTGCTTTATAATACCTGTGTTCCCACCAAGTTAACATCAATTCCGCCCGATCAGTGATATTTTTCGTAATTGCGTTTAATCGCCACATATCCGCGGAATAATAATACGCTAATCGTGGAAGTACATCCAGAGCAGTGATTATTAGAGACACAATCATACGTTCTTCATTATTGTTGCTGGCACTCATTAAGTTGGTTTGATTCAGCCACGCAGGACTCGTCGATAATACTCCAAACAATGTCGATATACTTTCTTCCAATCCTGTAAAATTGTACAAATGTTTTTAACATTGAACTCTTTTAACGTTTTGTAAGACGCTTCCATATTTGAGGAGTCACTAGGATATTTTCTTACCCGAATATCTGTTAACTGTATTGAGAATAGGAGTGCTCTCAACGATCATTTGATTGAACAGAATCTTCCCGATATCTTTATGAGCTGCCAGGAAATTGCTCATGGTAGCTTTGGAACAAGTTGATATTCTAAAACAGTTAAAGTTCAATTTGACAGTCATTCGTGCCGTTATTCCGTAGATAAACTGTAATTGTTTGAAATCTCAAGTTTCAATATACATGCCTCATTTTACCATCTAGGCAAAGATTTAATAATCTAGACGGACACTGTCGATTGAATTCGCTGTCATCCCAGAATTCAGCTTGCGGAACTCGTTTAAGCAGTATCGTGCCCAAATTAGATGCAGTTTTGTACAGAGATTTGCCTGCATATTTCTGCACAATACGATACAGAATCTTAAGTTTTACGTAATAATGATTTTAGAGTGTTTTTAAAACAAAAATAATAGTTTCTACCTCTTTCCAGAGATTCTTCTTGACATCGTAAATTAAATTTGAATTAGGCAATAGATCTGATGGCAAATCTGCCCAGTCGTGTCCTTGTAAGCTACCTTTCGAATAAAATTATACAACGATTATAAAAAGAAGAGTACAACGATTATAAACTGGCATTCGTTCAGTGAATATTAATGGCAAATTCAACTCGTCGCCATATACAATTGTCATCTTACCGAGTAAATAAACCGGCAGCGTGTCATTTACAGTAATTCCATATTTTTTAGACAAATTTGTACCGATAAATTTCAGAATTTTTTTATGAAGTGTATTAAATTGACTCCATTCGTTCCTTATTTTCTCATACGCATCAGGATATCCTGCCAACATCTCCCAATATTCTTCAACATTTTTGGCATCTGTAACCGAACATTTGACGTACTTTGGAATATACGTATTTTGACTTTGCACAGTTATCTACGCAATACACTTTAAATAATACTGACTATTTTCTTTTGCCGCTTTCGCGACAAGATGTAAATTGTCTGAATAATTCGCCACTAACGGTTGTAGTTTACGATACCAACCGCTCCATGCAACTTGCTTATCGTTCACTTTCCCGTTATGAGACAGCAAATATTCCACATCTAAAATAACGCATAGTTATAAAATTTCACTATTATATTGCATGCAATTTATGAACTACAATATGCGTTGAATTTTTTGTAGTTCTGTGCAACACATTTGTCTATGATTTTTGTCTTTAATACGTATGTATCTCATATAAATACGATAAAATAAAAATATACCTTCTCGTGAGTAGTTTTGTGATTTATCGACGTAACTGTTGGTTGATCGTTGTAATTCCACGGCACCAACAAAGTGCACGAGCTGTAAGATAATAGTAAAATAATTTCAAATTTCTTACATATATAACTGTCTCTCATTACACACAGTAGCAAAGATTCTTTACTTTCTTCCAATCTTCTTCCTTCAGCAACGCGTCACCAGGTTTCTCAATCACGTCATATTTGTATTGAAGCAACGGCTTGAGCTGTGACTTCTCATTATTTGTTATTGTAGTGAGCATTGTAGCTTTCTGTATTTTTTTAAATGTCCCATATTCGTATTGTTGCGTTTCCTAAAAAAATATTTTAAAAATTTGCTTGTGAGATGGAAAAAGTCGCAATATCTAAGCACAAAACTTCGCAATATATTTACCCATGCGAGTAATGTTTCTTCGGAAGGTACCATGATAAACGACCATTGTGCATTAGTGATATTATAACATGCATCTTCATACTCCAACTCAGTTAGCTCTAAGAAGGCTTTAGTTTTATCATCTTCCACCGGGGCACTGTTCATGTAGACAATGAGATTAAGAAGAATCCAACTCCATTTCGATAGCATCCCTTTAATCTGTTTAAAATAAACACTTAGTAGTTACTTGCGTTTCCTTCACAACACGCGTATCTCAAATGCACTTTAAAGACGCTCAGATGTTTTAAACGTTTCTGAACGTCTTTGAGATATGTGTATTGTGTAGCTTGTTAATATTTAAATAGTGCAAAATGGCGATTCTATAAAAGTCTAGAAAGTACGTATACAAAATCAACTTGTCTGTTATGGTTAACATATTTTTAAGGGAAATCGAGTACAGGAGAGATAATAATTTATAGCAATTATATGAATTCCGAGGTGCGTACAAAATTGATTTGGATCTCGTCGCGATGGAAGTAACTCTAATAGAAATTTAATGCAATTTCCAAGTAGTTAGTGGACAGTTATGCTAGCTCTGTTTTTCTATACGTTCACTTATTGTACAACGCAATTTTAAGTTCTTTTCTAACAATATAAATAAATATGTATTTCACATTTATTCATAATAAATATTATAATATATGTACATTATAAAACCGAACTGACATTATTAATACTTGGAAAATTATACACAAAGATACAGTTCATACGTTATACAGTAAACTGCTTTAACCACTGAGTCCAGTTATTGTTCAGTTTCTATGCATTATTTCTACAACTAATGAGAATGCATTAGTATTCGACAATAACTGAGCGGATGTCTGCATACATTTCTACCAAGGAACGATGATGGTGAATGATGTTATTGCGATTTAGAAAACGAGCGCGATCACTTATCGTGCTCGACTTATTCTACACTATCGTAAGATGGATTAGTCATATGTGCTAATATTGGTAAGGCGATGTGCGCGTAGTTCTATAGATAGCTAAACGTTGAAGATCTGTGCTTTCTAAAACATTTTTTGAAATATAGAAGTTACTAATATAACTTCTCTAATAACTAGTACTGAGTTATAGTATTTTAGTTATTAGAAATAGAATTTTAGAGTTAATAAGAAATCTCGCGCGCGCGCGCGTAACGTTAGTTACAAAATATATATATTTTAAAGTCAATAGAGTCGATAAAGTTTTGATCGAGGAACTGTTTGTCATATATCTATGTTGACTACAGCGAAAAAAGTTGAAAGATAAATTACTGATGATGTGAACGAACATATCTCATATTTATTCGATTTTCTAATACAGAGATAAATGAGATTTTGCAGAGGCAAATAGTAATCATATTCGCGATTAAATACGATTTATTAATAATATTATATAAGAAATAATTTAACAATATTTAAACTAAGATTACACATGGAAAAAAGAACTCGTCTCGTGTAACTAATTTTCTATTGCTTTCGAATCAAATGAAAAATTGATTGTAGGAATAGAAAGATTACCATAGGAAATTTCTGTTCAGTCAAATTTCTCAGTTATTTCAAGTAAATTGTAACGCAGCTGATTATTTAAATAAATATTCCTAATTACGATAACAGATATATATTTTTTGTCTCTAAATTTTTATTTGATTCCTATTCTGTTACATGAACTGATATTTTTGTTTTATTTCGAATATCAGATATGAAAGGAAATTAACATAACCTTTAAGTATAAATATCTCGGAATAAAAATTTTGAGCTCGATAAGACACGTATTCTTCAAATGTGAGTAATTGAGAATACAAGACTTACGTCATACACAGAAGGTTGCGGTCGAGCCAATGAGACAGACATGTCCGTATTTCTAACATCGAGATTTACCTTGTATACGCGGATACTCGGTCTAGTCGCGATAGATCGAGAGATATATTTCTGACTTGGCCATGCTCTCTCTCACAAGAGTGACACTACGCAGTCCGGAGCCACTTGCATTTGATCGCAAAAGATTCTCAATTCGATTAACACATACGCTACTAACGTCACACATGTGTATGTGACGCACCAATTTTCTCTGAAAGCTTGATCGTCACATACATGTGCCAGTAGTAATTTTCTATTTTATATTTAAATAAATAAATTGTCTGTTTTACATTATTACATGAAGTTTTACATTTTACATGAAAGAAAAAAAATGCAATGTGATCTGTGATAAACGATTTACCGGATAAACGGTGATTGCGAACATATTAAGGATTTTTGCACGTGGATTGCCGTAGATATAAGACAAACTTGAGCTAAAGAAATAATCAGAATATTCTTTTAGGATTCTTTTAGTTAGAAGAAGATAGACGTATAACTGTATAAACAAGATTCAGACTAAGTAACTAAATTTGAGTTACTCAGTTAGTTCTTCAACTAAAGTTTACGTCTTATGTTTACGTCTTATGATTGTTTAGTTACGACAATCCATATGCAAAAACCTTGAACGAAATGATGTCTTATTGACATGCTATGGATAGATATTTACTACGCTCGTGAAATCGATGCTAATAAGGACATTAATAAGGTGAATTATTGCGCATTATAATACAAAAGATCAAAATCCGAAGTTCAAAATAATTGAAAAACGACTATAAAACTCCCAGCTATAATTGAGAAAGGATCGTCATCGTTTATCCTTCACGTTTCATATTTTGCATACTAAATAACAAGAAGCGTTGATAATTTAAAATTTATTTATTGTGATAATTTAGAATTTATTCAGAAGATAAACGGATTCTGAAAAAGAGGTAAAAATTTTTTGACAAAGATAACAGCTTTCTCATTCCAGAAACACAGAATTATGCGCAATATTTTCCTTTTTGTCTTATGCCCTGATTTGAATTTAGATTTGGATTGCAATAATATATAGTCTATAATAGCTCCTTAGAAATCGATTTGCATAACAAATACGAAAGACTGAGAGGCTAATAAAAAATTTCCATTTTACTGGATGTTTTTTTTTTGTATAAATTTATCTCGAAATTGTACAATTGTAATTTGATTTAAAAGCAATTATAATTTTCTTGGACGATCTACCAATAATTTTTTAGTGTAAATTTTTTTATAAACAATTGACAAGTTCAAGGGATGCCGTCATTTAGTTCTCGAGTATTATATAGGTCACGTTGTAACCTTCGCAAAAGAGCGATTTCATTCTTTTTGCGATAAAATTATATAACAAATACTATTTTCTTGTTTCGTTTACATATTAAATTTTCATTTGAAATTCTTAATAACCATCAAAATAATTATAAAATCATCGTAATAAATCATATCATGTAATAATGTAATTCCGGTATATCTAAATATATTATATTTCATAATAGATGTATATTATCGTACATCTTTTTAAGAATTCTATAATAAGTCGAGAAACAGATATGGCACTTGTAAACAAACTATAAGAGGTTTATTTTGAATCACGAAGATTTACAAGAAGATACGCGAATACGATTCAACGTGGTCGAACATCACGTGTTCTCAATTATGTTCTCACTTTCATTGAAAAAAATGTAAAAATAAATACGTTTCTAGAGAAATTAGTGTATCATATTATCTTCGATAAATAATAGATCTGTATATTTAAGCTACATTTACTCTTTGTATCTTCTATACGTTAAAAATGAAACAGGTATACGTCTAAATTTCATAGAGATTGAAGAGTTAAAGACAGAAGGAGGGAGAGGGACAGAGAAAGAGAGAGTTAAAAAAGGAAAAATAATTAAATGTCAAAAACCGAACAAATATAGTGCACTACACTATTGTTACCTTTGATAATCGAGCGATAGTCACGCTCGATTCCTTCGATTCGCACTTGCTTTGTGCAACAAAGTTCACGACAGAAAGGAGGATGCGCGGGCAATGCGCGTGTAAAAAGGACCGACCGAGAGATCGGCCGAGATTGGACCGTGAGTCTGATGGGTGGGATTGTCGTACAGTGGTCAAAGTTCGTCGAGCAATTAGTTAAGGAGCGAACGTTGATCGACGACTCACGCGCTTATAGGCCGATGCCTGTATATGCGACGACTGTTATCACCAGCGACAGTTGCCCGTTTACGTCTGACGTTGTCCGCGATGTTGCACGTCCACCGTGTGACTACTCGTGCCAAGTTGCGATCGATCGAAATTCCTTCGCATCACGCCACTAATTCCAACGTCAGTGCATGACGATGCGTAACCGCTTGGCCGCTTGCGTGCGTTACCGTTCTGCTGTAGCTGCCGTCCTTCAACGTGACTGCCCCGAATCACCTTGCCGTCTTCACTACCGTCGTTGCCGACTCCAACGTGAGTCGTAACTGACCATAGACTGCTGCTTGGTCGCTCTTTCAGGCTCATCAGCACCGCCCGGCTTCGTCGCACAATGTCGTGAAAAATAGAATAGAGTGTTACTCTCTGATGATATCACGAAGCTGTGGGAATCTGTCACGACAGGTACATCGGTCGACCAGACCGACAGTTAGTTAGATATCTATTGGTATCTACGCTTTGTCTCATCTGTTGTAGATGAAAATAGTGTGTGATACTACAAGGTAATTGAAGTGTTACTGTCGGTTGGTTCTGTATCGTTGTACCCAGGAATGTGAGCGCACACACATTGATCGAGCAGGTCAGGACAGTAATCTTTTTCTTATTTGTGTTTCTTTCTTTCACTTGTAGAAGGAAAGAGACGGAATAAGCAAAATGGTCGTAAACATTCAGTCAAGTAGCTAGGAACTAGACCGACTGTTGGTTATTGCAGATAAAAGCAGAGATCCAGTTCGGAACGACTGTAACTGCTCTTCATTACATATTGAGAAACGTAGTATCAGAGAGAAGCATGAGAGCGACACCAGCCTGATTTCAATGGCCAGAGCTAGATGCTAGAGACCCTATAATAAGAGTCTGGCCATCAGAGGAATTCTGGCAAAATTCTTCGAGAGAGAAATATATAAGATGTTTCCTAGAGGGTCTCTAGGAAACATATATCTTTCTCTCTCGGATTTTCCCAGAATTCCTCTGATGGCCAGACTCTTATTATAGGGTCTCTATTAAGCGCATTTTTGAGACCATCTAATAAAGTGCGTTTTTACTTCGTTCGTTAAGCACATTTTCGCGATGATAACAATAAAATGCGTCTGGTTTGTGCCACTTGTTACCACAGTCTTTTTACTATCAATTGCATTGTACGTGCATTTTTTGGCAACCACTAAAAATATCAAGGTGACACATAGGGTATTATTTGCCCCACAATTAATTTTATTGGAATTAGTAGTTTATAATAATATGAATAATATCGGAGACTCGAAACACCTTGGTTCAAATCCCGGCTTATTAATTGAGTGCAGACTCGAAACACTTCGGTTCGAATCCCGGCTTATTACTTTAGTGAAGACTCGAAACCCTGGTTCGAATCTCGGCTTAAGGGAGTAAACAAACTTGCTAAGCGTCGATAATGTCGATAACGTCGATAACGATTAAAACGATTCAAAACGTAGAAAACTATTATATTATTTTATTAATTTATTATATTAATTATTTTTATTTACCGATATACATTAGGATCCATAAGTGCTTTTACACTTTCGGTATCTAGAGAATTGGACTTTTTCGATCTGGCGTTTCTCAATAAGTGTAAATCGTGGCTGTTAGTTAATTGTCGGTTCTTTCAGTAACTAACAATCACGACTCACGCTTACTGAGAAACGAAGAGCCAGATCGAAAAAATCCAATTCTCTAGATACCGGAAGTGTAAAGGCATTTATGAATTCTAGTATACTGATTTTATGTATATATAAATATATATTGGTATTTAACAAGAGATATTTAACAAGAGATGTATCAAGAGATGATACATCTCTTGATGTATCATCAAGAAATATTCCGACAAGAAGGAAGCTTCCCGAGGCGAAATTTTAATTATTCATTGTTATGCAAGAATGATCCAATTAAAAAAATTATAAGTTTTTGTCAATGGATATTCTATTCATCTTTTTATACAAAACGCAAAAATTCAAGCTAATATCATCGCAAAATTTAATTAAGAAATGATTTCCTTGAACATAATCTCTCAATATGATTATGATTAAAAATATCACATTTCTTGGTAGCATAGACTGTGTTAAACAGAAAAGTAACAAAAACGATTGACAGGAACGCGAACGCTGTGGCCCTTATGACTATCTATTATCACTACCATTTAAGTATTATTCTTCGAGTATTATTACTTCTTTGTTCAATTATTATTTAATTTATTCGGTTATTATTTAATTATTGCTATTACGCATAGGAAAGCAACTCGGGCATGCCGTTATTACAATTTCTTTACCTCGTCTTTAATCAGTTATTATTACCGTTGCCCAGTTATTGTTATTCATTGTTATTACCGATTATTCGAACATCGTTATTCAGTACAAAGACGAGGTAAAGAAATTGTAATAACGGCATGCCCGAGTTGCTTTCCTATGCGTAATAACAATAATTAAATAATAACCGAATAAATTAAGTAATAATCGAATAAAGAAGTAATAATACTTGAATATTAAATAGTAGTATGGTAGTAAATTATAATATTTGTTCAACAATCGTGTGATAATATCCGCGAATGGATAATAACGAAATAATGATTAAATGATCGGTAATAACAATATCAGGGCAATGACTCTAACAAAAACTCTAGGCTCCACAAAGGCTAGGTAAACGTACCGTCGTAACGGTCCGCTCATGCCGCTGACTGAGCGGCGCTTAGGGGAGCGCGCGGCCGGGTCATGTAAACACGCGTGTGCGAGCACGTGCTCGAACGTCACATCATAACACTCTCAACCATTGAGACGAGCATATCGGAGCTGCCGCGTTATTTTCTAGATTATTCTGTGCCGATTTTTGATACCGCGTTTCGACTTCGCGACAAATGAGGCTATAATTAAGACAAATTAAGACGCGTACTCCTCACGCAAGCAGGTGTTGCAAGCTTTACCGCGACAGGTAATTACCGCGTTTTATTTACTTTTTACTTGTTAGATAGAGAAACGTCGCGATTGAGTTCCTCAGTGACGATCAAATATTATCATCATCCATTTATTATTCGAGTATTATTACTTCTTTATTCGGTTGTCGTTTAATTATTTTTATTATATATTGGGAAGCAACTCGAGCGTCCCGTTACGACGATTTCCTTACCTCGCCTTGCTGTCGTGTGTAATTAATTGATACTACCGGATATTATTATACGATCAGATATTAATAACATCATCCATTAATTAATTGGGTATTATTACTTCTTTATTCAGCTATGATTTAATTATTGTGCACTCGAGCGTGCCGTTACGATAATTTCTTTTCCTCGTTTTGCTGTTGCGTGTAATTAATTGATACTAAATTATTAAATTACTAAATTATATTAAATTTTTTTTTACAGAGATCCAATGGAACAGACGCAGTCACGCAGCTCTAGGGGATGCGATATTTGGGAGATGCTGTGCCGAAGGATTCGGCTCGGACCTTTCTGAGTCGGCTCGAAGGTAAGCTTCACTAATTTGTACTTATAATTAGAAATTCGACAAAACTGAAAATTTTCTTGCTTGGAATCGAGTTCCTTAACGCCTCCATTGTCGTGTGTAATAAATTAAATCTGCTTTCTGTTGCAGAAACGAAGCAGACGACCAGTTGACTCTTAGGGCTATCGCACACAAATTGACATAACTACATATGCATAGCATAAGATCGTATGGACCAATGAGCATCGAATATTAAGCATCGAACACCAATATAGCGACTTAATACTCGATGCTCATTGGTACATACGGTCTTATGCTATGCATATGCAGTTATGTCAATTTGTGAGCGATAGCTCTTAGGGGCTGCTGCGCTGGAGGATCCGGCTCGGGGCCGAGCGGGATTACCTCGAAGGTGAGCTTTATTAATTAGTATTTGTAATTAGAAATCCGACAAGATTGTTAATTCTCTTGCTCGAAATCGAGATAATTTAAATTGACTCACAGATTGCGTTAAATCGTAATTACACGCGGGATGAATTTTTTCTGAGTAACATTACCATTTGAAAAATTTTCATTTGTTTTGATTAGAGAAAAGATTTATTTGCAACGTCGAGAAAAAGGAAAATGGAATATTCTTAGAGTGAATGCATTCCGAAAAATTTTTCCTGCGTGAAAAATATCATGCTTATTTTTTTTAAATAATAAAACTTCTTTACTCAAATCGACATTAATGCACGAATCTAATCGGAGAAATGGCACTTTTCTGTTCCAGAAACGAAAGCAGAATGTGGCTACCCTGATCGGCGGATTGGTGAGTCAAAACAAGAAATATATTGATAATAGAAAGACAAAAAGTCTTTCGATATAGTGCATGTTTATCGAATCAATGTGATTTACTTTGCTGTAGTTGTAATATGTGTACGTGCCGTCAAATAAAAATCACACTACTCGAAACAATTGGAAAATCGCTTTTTCAAATAATAATATTAGTGATAATGCATGTTTTACATAAATTTGGCAAATAAATTTTCAAGTATTTTTCTCCCAATGTATATATATTTATTAATTGATTAACTTAGATTATTGATTGGTTGACGATTTTTGTAGGAAGAAATTTTGATTAATCAAACCCCAACACTATCTTGTAGATGCTTAAAATATTGAGTATACACTCTGAACATTGAAAATTTTGTAAAATTATTCAATTTTATTAAATGCGATCTTCCAAGTGTCTTGAGCAGTGCGCCAACGCGCAAAGAGATTGCGCCATAGAAATTGCGTCATAGAAAATGCGCAATCACATCACCCGCGTCATAGATCTTCCGCCGGTCGTTAATTTTCTCAATTTTCGTTCTCGCGTGAACTTAAATCGCGATTGCATTTCATAAAGTAGAGTTTGTATTTCGTTATTAAGTAAAATTCGATATCGTGCGGCACTTGCACGAAACGATCTAACGTGATTATATAAATTGCTTGCAAAATTAATTTTACGATCATTGAAAAATTTTTTGGTTTCAATTTTTTATTTAGAGTTAGAGTTTCCTAACGCGGGACACAATAGAGACAATGCTAGCGAGCGTTGATTCTTTGCGAAAAACGTGATGTACACAAGTCAAACATGCGAGCAGTTATTGGTTTATTTATGCGACGCGCAACAAGTTCCATCGTACATAGACTGACATTTCACGCGATAACATTTTTTTTCGCGTGAATTTTGAATAGAATTTTTATCTTTATTGTCACAATTTTCATAGTTTGATTTTTCACGCTCGCGTTCGCGATTATTAATTTGATAGATTTGAGAATTTCACCGGATCGTATTTGCGGAAGAGTCGCGAGTGAACTTCGCAGAAATATTGCGGAGTTGTTATCCGCAAAAGCATTGCGGAATTGTCTTCGCAAAAGTATTGCGAAGCTGTTATCCACAAAAATATTGCGGAATTGTCTTCGTAAAAGTATTGCGGAGTTGTTATCCGCAAAAACATTGCGGAATTGTCTTCGCAAAAGTATTGCGAAGCTGTTATCCACAAAAATATTGCGGAATTGTCTTCGTAAAAGTATTGCGGAGTTGTTATCCGCAAAAACATTGCGGAATTGTCTTCGCAAAAGTATTGCGAAGCTGTTATCCACAAAAATATTGCGGAATTGTCTTCGTAAAAGTATTGCGGAGTTGTTATCCGCAAAAACATTGCGGAATTGTCTTCGCAAAAGTATTGCGAAGCTGTTATCCACAAAAATATTGCGGAATTGTCTTCGTAAAAGTATTGCGGAGTTGTTATCCGCAAAAACATTGCGGAATTGTCTTCGCAAAAGTATTGCGAAGCTGTTATCCACAAAAATATTGCGGAATTGTCTTCGTAAAAGTATTGCGGAGTTGTTATCCGCAAAAACATTGCGGAATTGTCTTCGCAAAAGTATTGCGAAGCTGTTATCCACAAAAATATTGCGGAATTGTCTTCGTAAAAGTATTGCGGAGTTGTTATCCGCAAAAACATTGCGGAATTGTCTTCGCAAAAGTATTGCGGAACTGTTATCCGCAAGAATATTGCGGAGTTGTATTGCAGCCTACTACGCTGCACCATCGAAACGTTACATTAGGGCTATTCCGTGTTGTACGTGAGTATCTCACACAGATCACTTCACCCATACGTCGAACGCGATTTCGTCTTCCATTCGCGTCGCGTGTTCTTTTCGCTCGCAGATTCCGTTTTCTTCGTAAGCGATTCGCGTCGCGCGTATATCAAAGCGATACACTATAACTCGATCTGACCGTTGTTGAATTTGTCATACATACTCGTCGTTTATCCAAAAGGCCGACATTTCCTCGAAGACGCTGTTCGCGATATTTCATATGCAATTCGCAACTTGGAGTGTATCCCCTAAAAGAGACGGGATTTTTCGTGAAACCTCCGTTAGATTACCGCGGTCGGGAGTGAATTACAGGCGTCGCGGGACGCGAGGACCATTGCAGTGACAGGATGCAATGACAGGATGGCTGCTGGACTCTGGACATCGTGGGACGACGCGCAATGGTGAGCGCTCGATTTAGACGCACACATAGTAGACATAAAGTGTCACTTTACGTAGATTGCATGCACGTAGACGTAAATCGCATTGGGTCCGACGGGAAGTAAAGTAAGAATTGAAATTTGCAATTCGCCGGAGTTACGTAAGAATGATCCAACCAAAGAATTTAGCTCTGAAATTATTGAGTAGCTCAATTCTTAGAAAAATGTGCAAAAAAATGCGACTGACCAAAAATAAAAAAACTGTTTCTTAATTTATTTCAAACATTTATAAGGCTTGAATTTTTGTTTGGATTAAAAAGATGTAAATGGAGTATCCACTGATAAAAGCTAATAATTTTTTTAATTGGATCATTCTTGCAACAATAGCCAATTGAAATTTCGACTCGGCAGGCTTCCTTCTCGTCGGATTATTTCTTGATCTAGAGTATATTTTTGGATATCTTTTTATAGTTTTTTAAAGTAATTTTCGCGTTTGTAAAAGTGTATTTTTAAAAGTGATTTCAAGTGTGCGTATTTCGCTCTGCATCGTCTCTTGAATGACATTGCATGTTAATGTCACTCTACTCTCTCATCAACACGCCCAGAATTGAAAATAATTTGCTAAAAGTCCCAAAGTCGCGCCCATTATGTTAGTTACAACGTAGTATTATTTGGATTCTCGCGCATAGGCCGAAAAGCGGTCATGTTACTACAGGTTAGGTCATATAGTGTTAGTATGTAGAGCACATTCTGGGATAGTTTTTTAGAGTTTTTTAAAGTAACATTCGCGTTTGAAAAGGTGTATCTTCGAAAATTACGTCTAGTGTGCATATTTCACTCTGTATCATTTCCTGGATGAATGTTTTTGAAAGAACCGACAATTAACTAACAGTGACGATTTACGTTTACTGAGAAACGATGCGCCAAATAGAAAAATTTCAGTTCTCTAGATACCGGAAATGTAAAGGCATTTATGAATCCTAAGGTATGTTCGGGGAACTCGCTATTAGCGCTATTCAGCGCTACCGTGTCATTCTATCCTTGTTGTTTATCTAAAGAGCGATGAAGATAGAAGAAAGCAGTAGCGTTGGTAGCGTGCTCCCCGAACGCGCCCCTAGTATACACCGGTAAATAAAGATAACGTTTTCTACGTTTTAAATTGTTTTAATCGCTTCTACGTTATCGATGTTTAGCAAGTTTGTCGTCCATTCCAGCATCCCCTTAAGCTGGGATTCGAACCAAAGTAACCGAGTCTCCGCTAAACTATTAAGCGGGGTCTACAATAGAAGTGGTACTGTGGTAAATCGTACAAATTGACCAATCACGGTCGATTATTCTTGTCAAACTCGACTGATGTGTCAATGTACGATATCTACGATTTACGACTCTATGATTTCTATTGTTGACCCCGCTTTAAGCCGGGATTCGAAACGAGATATTTCCAATTTCCGCTCAACTTTTAAGCCGAGATTCAAACCGAAGTTTTTTGAGTCTCCGCTAAATTATTATGTCGCGATTCGAACCGATGTGTTCGAAGTCTCCGATATTATTCATATTATTATAAACTGCCAATTCCAATAAGATGAATTGTGGGCAGATAGTGCCCTTTGTGTCACCTTAATATCTTTAGTTGTTGCCGAGAAATGCGCGAGAGATACAATAGTAAGAGGCTGTCAGCGACGTCGAAAAGTATGCACGCTTTCATGGCTTATTTAACGAATCGTTGTTAATAGTATTATTAAAGTATTAGTATTATTAGTATTATTGTAAATTCTGAATTCCAATAGGATAAATTGAGGAGAACTTGGTTTTCTTTGAATCACATCGATATCTTTTGTGGTTGCCGAGAAATATGCAAAAAATATGAGCAGCATGTTTAAGCTTATATATTTATTCATTGTTTTATATTGTCTAGTTTCAAAATCTTTTTTCCTTGCAAAATTACGCAAACGCAGCGCGAGAAAGACGAGATTGATGAGAGATGATCTAGCTTTGCGATAAGTTTGCCGCTAGTTCGCTTCCTATGTCGCGGTCCGGTCATAAATGATGAGACAAGAATAGAGCGATTGGACGTTTGTCCTGTTCTAACTTACTATCATTGTATGGAAGTACAAGGGGCAAGAACTAAGCGCATTTTATCGTTACCACCGCGAAAATGCGTCTAACGAACGTAGTAAAGGCGCACCTTGTTAGATGGCGTCTCGAAAATGCGCCTAGCTGTGGCCACTAAAATCAAGCTGGTTGCCGCTCTTAAGTCCGTGTCACACTACGGATTGGAAATTGAGGATTGAGGATTGAAGATTAGATTTTGACGAATCAATGCACTTTGGTCTTGGCTTGCTTGGCTCCAATTGGTCAAGTTCCAATCTTCAATCCGCAATTCTCTATTTCCAGTCCGTAGTGTGACACGGGCTTTAGGCTTCTTTGTAGTAATATATACGAGCACTTCAGAATTAAATAAATTTTTCATTATGTATTTTTTTATTGTGTGTGTACAAACATCAAATATTGTTTTATCATAAGCAATATATAAATTGTAGAATTGTATACAATGCCAAAGTATGTCGCATTAAATTAATATTTGAAGAGTGTACCGATCGGTCAGGTCGATGGTCAGTTATCACATATAAAGAGAAGGAGTGTTTCCTCTCTTAAATGCTACGATAGTATAGAGAATGAGATATATAGGTAGATAGAAAGAAAGAGGGAGAGAGAGAAAGAAAGAGAGATGAGAGGAAGTATTAAATATAAATGCTGTTGGAACGTAAATTTTTTAATGCGGAGCCATTTGTCATTGATATATTAAATTATCTTGGTATTTTATCTCACAATTGTAAAAATAAAAGAAATAATAAGATAGATATTTGATATTTGATAATAAGGTAGATATTTGATTACTTTGATATTTATTTCTGCCATCTCTTCAATTTAATGTCTATCTCATGGTTGATATATATTTAATACATACATAGTACATATGTAGTACATACGTAACCCTAACAGCACAGATATCCATGGGACATCCAGAGAACATCCTGAGGAAGTCCTGAAGACATTTCTTCGTTCTCAGGACGTCCTAAGGATGTCCTCAGGAAATCTTGTGCTGTCTGGGAAGTAAAAACCATGATTTCTGACACGTCGTAACTTGGTTAGTTAGAACAATGAAATTAACGTATACTATTTTATATTTTATTCACATCTAATATAACTATTGTAAATTTATAATACGAAATTATAAACTTGTGATATATGTAAAACTAGACTATGTGTACGGGAATATGTGTACGTAAAAAAGATTCAAAATTGCTCGAGGCAAATGAACGGGTTATCAAACCGTTTAATTTTCATATAGATTCGCGGAGTAACTTTAATAACTGAATTCAACTTTGAATCTGTGAGATTCATTTGCAGGAAGGGTTTTTCACAAAATCGACTATAAGTATATTCTTCAGTTTCGTCAATTTTCGGTTTATATTATATGGTATATGCATATACATGAATTAAATCTTAAATAAAATTTGCATTAAAGTAAATTCCACGCTTAAAGTTAATCGAAAACGAGGCTTGCGTGTTAGCTATATAACGTTGTTAGTCATATAACTTCATTGAAATTCAAAATCCCTTAATTACAATGTCTAATTGTCGCGCAATCAGCGTGCTTTCTATAGAATTTTCTTGAATAAAAAAATGGGATCCAAATTTTATTCAAAATTTCTTCTTAAGAGTTCATATGGTAGGAAACTGAATAACCAACGCGTCGCGACGTGAGTGTCTGTGACGCACATATTTCTTTCACGCTCTCGTCGTAATTCGCTTAAGTACAGTTTGTACTAGTACCCGAAATAAAGGATATGAATCGTTAAATAAAAATTTGAGTATCACGTTTAATGTGTCCACGTACGACGCTCTTGTCGCGTGTAATTGACTCATTAAAGACGCACTTTTAAGCAAGCAATATATTCAAGATTGCGAGATATTTGCAACGGAAATTATATTACGTACATGTAATATATTATACATAATTGAATCCTTCATCTTAAAAAGGGCCCAAAAAATATTTGAAAATAGATTTCCGTATTTATGTATAGAAGATATTTCAGTTATTGTAGTAGAAACAGAGTAAAAAATACAACGAATATAATAAAAAGCTGATAAAAGTTTTATGGCTGGGAGTTATTGCTATCGAATATTTCTCATGTTCCCTAAAAAATAAGAATCGAATAATCTGTCCTTTCTAAGATGACTGATTTAATCGTACGTTGCAAAATCTTACACAATAATCACTTTATTACCTTAACGACAAGTGTTAAATATTAAAAATAGACCGGTGGTTATCCTTTATTCGGAACGTCTTACATATTGCGTAAATGCTCGGAAAGGAATCTATAAGCTGCAGTAAGTGAAGTCATGGACGATCGAGAAGAGAGTCAATGAGGTTTTTTGTTTTATTTACATCCTAAATTGAATCTTAATTGTCGTCACCTCTGTGGAGATGACGATCGTTAGCAGTTGCGTGGAATCTGAAAAAAAAAATTTAGTAGTTTCGAGTCCCGATTTATTCCCGCGCGACCCTTCTGGAGTCTAGAAGCTGCGGAACAGGCTTTACTAAGCGTTGTTCCGAATAATCTTAGTCGCGAATTGTCATCCCTAATAAATCCTAAGTAGGCTCGGAATAAAATTTGCTTTCCCGAACTCCGACGAACGTGATCCGCTGGAACTGTCAGGCACACCGAATTTTGATGCACTATTTGCTTTGAAGTTTCGCAGACTTTGGTGTTCTTTCACAAGATAACTCACGTAAGTTCGACGACTCACTAGTTAGTTTACCAGCGCGATTATGACGCTTATCACGCATCGACCTCGTAAGGTCCTTTTTGCGTCAGTTCTTTTTTTTTGATGAGGTATTATCGACATCTCGTTTGTTTTTGCGTATTAAAAAGGAGGAAGATGAGATCACAACTGTTCGGATTCGAAGGCCGAGTTATCTATACCGTTTATCATTTCGGCTTTCTGCATGCTCTTCGGCGTGTCTACGATTCGGGAATTCAAGGTCTTCGAACTGTGATCTGCCGTGTCCTCGTTCTTGTGGTTGGTCGTAGCCTCCAGGTCCTTCTGTTCCCTCAGCAAACGATCCTTTCGATGCTCCGTATACAACCATCTGGTTGAACATACACGCAACCGTTACAGGAATGCGAACTTTGTTTGAACAATCAAAAGAAGAATTAGACATGCGGATGTTTACGATATATGAAGAATATTTCTCGCGAGTTAAAAACACGCGACAAAGTCGACAAACATGATTTTAATCTTACTGTTTTGTAGGATGCGACACGTCCAATTTGACGTTATTTGCTGTGAAATTTTAAAGACTTAGACAATACGTTATTCTCACGCTGTTGCGCTTAAAATTGATGACTTGCTTCGTGTATGTAGAGATTGTCTCGTTGGCTTTGACTTATTCAACGTGTTTGTCGAATATATAATTTTCTCTTCTGAATTAATTCATATCCCCCGGCTACTGCTAAAATAAAAAATAGAGCTAAGTTCTTAGCGAATACTCACAAGAATGCGAACACGGCGGGCATAGTCATGCATCCTCCGGCGATGAAGAACGTCCCCGGAAATGTGTTCATGGTCGCCGCGTAAATGGCGCTGTACATTGGCCCATAAATGAGTGGCATCAGGGACTCGCACACGCCGAACAGCGAATTCACCTTACCTACGGGATTACATAATCCGCATCTTAGGTTATGAAACGCAACAAATCGACGAATAAAAACTGCGTCGTAGAATGTTTCTCTCTGGCGCACGTATGCGCGTGCGGATCGTTAGCGCCGGGCAGGAAGCCCTCGTTAGGCCCAGTTCGCGACGCAGGAAAAATTAGCACCGACGCCACGATCACGGTAATTTGGCGCCGAAATTATCCGATTTACGCGGTTACGGCAAGCGATGCGAAAGTGAAAAAGACCGTGTCCGGTCCGCAGTCCAAAACACTTCAAAATGCCAACGGGACGGTTCAGTGTAATAAGTCGTAATAGAACTCATTCTAAAGACGACCGTTTATCTAACGTACTTTTTCATCCAGCTTTTAAGTGTGAGAAATATATTCCGTGGATCCGGTTCACTTAACATTACTGACTGAACAGAATTTTTTCATTCACTTTTAAAGAGAGAGCATTTTCCCGCTTTGGGGGTTGAACGACTCCGAGAGGCTCTTGGCAAAATGCTTCTACACATGGAAAAATATTTAGATATGTATTCAAGTAAATGTTACTCATTTCAAATGTTTCATAAGTTTATATATCCGCAAATCTATTACAAGTCTTTATCATTAAGTTATTTTTCAATCAAGAATATTAAATTAAAAGAAAAATTTAGTTTATTTATTACATAGAGTTGAACTAACATTTTCTTCAGTAAAGTTTTACAATCTCCTTGCGAAAAGAATAAATTCCTTTTCTGAGTATATGATAATACACTTAAAAGAATAAAAGTAATCTAAATAATCTGGCAGTAGAGTGATATTTTTCTGTGTGTACATTTGTTTTTTTTCTCACTTCTCCTTTCTTTGCAGAATTATATACAATTTCGAAGTGACGTAAAAACGAGATTATCGGAGATAATAGCGTGTTTCACTTTTATTTTAATTTGAGGTCCCTTACCTAGTTCATCCGTAGGCACGAGCTTAGAGGCTATCGATCGCATAGCAATAATGGATGTTCCGTTCACAATCTCCACGATAGCGGCTGAAACGTATAATTAATCCATTGTTAAAAATATTTATGGAAACCGGTACTGTGCACGATAATTCGGTACACATGTAGCCGTTACCCAGACGTGTTAGACGTTTTAGAAAGACTGACCTACGTAGGCCATCCAGTCCGTAACGGCGAATGCGTACACGAAACTTGCTAAGATTTTACTCATACAGCTCATTATACCCACGATCGCGTCATCTATCTTGAGGATGTGACTGAAGATGCCGACGGAGACCGCGGTTCCTGAGTATCAGCAGAAAAATTCTCTTAATTCTTTCGCACAACAAACGTAACAATCATGATTAAGCAGCGAACGAAGGAGGAGTGTGTGTATGAATGAGGATTAGCGTGAGGAAAAGCGCTGATAGCTCTGAAGATTAGGAGTGCGGGTTGGCTAAATGAAAACGCAAAGATGCGAGAGAAACTGAATTGTGCGCTAAAATTGAGTGAATTGAGTGAGAAGATAGAAAGTCTTTGCGACACCGTACGTCGTACGTATGGTGGGTGCAAAATTTTTGCGTTGCCAGACGAAGCCGTGAGTTGTCATGACGATTTTCATATTGCGCGCACATTATCATTTATCATATAAACAATTTGAGGCAGCGCCAACGTTTTTGAAACACGCTGTTGCTGTGTGTATGTATGTCTTAATATTATTTTAGAATAGTCGCGCATCGTTATTTGCTGCACACTGACGTTAACGTATTTGTTACCCACTAAGACTAACATGCACAATTGAATTTCCTCAAGATAATCTCTGTCTTCTACAATTCATCGGAACCGAAGTAATAATCACGTTAATTCTGCTTAGCAAGGATATTTATTCTTATATAAGATACGTTGCCCGTTACTCTTTCTTTGCACAAAGAGCTTTGATTATACCGATCAATGTAGTATTACCAGTAACAAAAATAACTGATGTTTTTGATCTGCGAAAAAACAGACAGTTAGTCGACGGAGATTACTATTTTCGAATGATCACATGATATTATGTGCACGTGTGGCGATGGACGGAAGATCTATACGGAGAGAAGATATTATAATTTCTTTTCATATAAATTCTTTTCAATTTTACTACGTTTTTTGTAGTTTAGGAATAGACCGTCAGCAAGGCCTATCTAAGGTGGGAAATTTCGCTAGAATCATAACAGGTGTCTTAATAGCAGATTTCAGTTACTAAAATATAAGTAGCACATGTGAAGTGAAAGGAGATGGTGTGAATTACTGCAGAATGCAGTAGCGACTTGTTCCACGGTCATAAAATCCTATAGTATCAATCCTATAGTAATTTTCACTATAAAATTTTCTTCGTATGTATTTGTATTTCGTGGTCGATGATGAGATTAATGAGGAATCGTAAAGCTTTATTACGTGCAAAATATCGCGGATTTCCAGCTATTGTGTTAACGCGCGTGCATGTCTGTGAACTTGTTCTCATATATTGTTAATTTGCAACATTTTTGTTTGAAGCGATCTTCTTACCGATCAGATTAGTTACCATGCCAAATGTGGAGAACATGCTGAATTTCACTTCGTTCCAGTTGTATCGGTACCGCATGTAAAGATACAGAACCGCCATTTCGCCTGAAAGAATAAAGAAACAGCAAATTTAACCTCTTCATCGCGTTGTCACAGTTGCTTTTTTAAAACGCGCCTCGACCTAAACATGCCGTTGATATCGACAGTAAATAGAATGGATATTTATCGACAAAAATTTATGGAAAAAAATTTATGGAAAAAAATCACGTCATTATTGTGTAGTCATAAGAAATGTATGAATCTGATCCGACTTTTTGTTGAGTAATCCTCTAGCTTGTAGCTCGGTCAATTCTTTTATTTAGCATTTGTGATACTCGACGAGCTCACCCGTTAACGCTATATACGAATAGAACGTTACACAATTCTAATGACTTCTCGGAATCTCGATTTAATTAAGTTTCCCCCGAGCCATTGTTGGCACTTTTCACACGAGTCCGATTTATGGTAGGTCCGCCATTATGTTATCCATTATTGGATACTTGTGGGATCCGCTTGCTGTTATTGAAGTAGATGGTATTAAGCAAACGCAATTGTTGGTATGAACTTAGGTGATAGCCATGACTGTTACACATAAGAGCGAGAATCGCTTTATAAATATTACAATTGATATTGAAAATTTAATATGAATTTTATATGAATTTTGTATGAGTGTTTAGTCGAATATTTGAAGCGGATTTAAAAAATTCTGGAACTTTGGCTCTGCGAGCCAATCTGTGCTTTCACCTGCAGTCCCTAACTGCGGATTTGTATTCTGTCTCTGTAACGTAAAAATGTACAGCTTATCGGTTATAGTCGATAGTGATGACAGTGATAGTTGAATCATTGTTGATTTGCTAAAATACGGTATTTCTCGCAAGGCCTTACTGCCGCGATAATATTTTACAAATGCTGTCAAGCGCGACGGTTTAGCGTTTTCTTTCCAATTACAAACGATTTTCGAGCGATTGCATAGACAAGCGATTAGACCAACAATTACTTCCTGTAGCAGTACCGAGTTAACTGCGAAGGAAGGTCAAATGCAATGCCGGTATTATGTAAATGTAAAATGCTCTTTTGCAAAATCCAACGATTTATCGAGATGTACGACTACTCGAGGTGTCGACCATCTGTAATCTTCGTTTGAGCGCGATTCTTTCGAGGAAAAAACGCGTACGTGCATATTTATTGAATTTCTAGTCAAGTTTAATCGGCAGTTCTTATAATTTGCAAACTTCACTAGAATTTGCTAGAATTTGCAGACTTCGTAATAACTTCTGCTGAAATCTATCAGTCTACTTCTCGCGGGCGCGATATTCGCGACTTGCCACTCTTCGCAAGATTATAATGAAAATATACCTACGACATGTGACACAGTCGGACTTTCACCACGCAATTCTGACGTTCAAAGATCTGAAATTATATCGCAGTACCTATAACCGCGTTCGAACGAAGTATAAGTATATAGTGCCAGAGATTGCATGCAAATAAGTATGCGATTTGGTGCGCGCTATGTGTCTATGTGTCAACTATACATCGCGACGTCCCGGTGAACGTTAGAAATTTCGGCATCATGGAAAACTTTGTAAGAGAATTTCTAACACAACACAATTGACAGCTTATATAGCACGTTTATATAAAAAATTGATAGAAGGCGGATAAATGCACAGTATATATGAACACAATCGATTTTTTAAATTTGACACGTTTTTGTGGATATCTCGCGATTGTATTCGACCATGTAAATACCTTCGGGAAAAGACAAGGATTTCTAGGCATTTTTAAATGCTTATCCGAGCAAACACGGTCCGTTGAATCTAGCTGCCGCTGCTCGCTGTCATTGGTACAACATCAGTTGGTATCTAGCAGCAAGAGAAATGACGAATTGAATCAGACAAGCCTCGGAAAATCGAGTGAGCCTCCTACCAAGTGTTCACACCATGATTTTAATGCTATTCTTGTTCGAAGGCATTAGACCTAAGTTACCGGGATCCGATAAGCACCGGTCGCGCTCGGCCGTGCTACAAAAATAGGTTGGCCGGATAAGGGTTAATTACGCGATTCTTGGACATGGACGCGTGGCCGATGACGACAACGAAAGAGTTAAGAAAAGTATGTTCTTACGGGGCCGTACAGGTATATCGCGTTACGGCATTCAAAATCAGGAAGACGCCCATTACACGGAATTGTTATAAGCGTGACGACTGCCCGCGTCACTTAGCAGCTGAGATAATTCGTACTAATGCGTACCCAGACATTGTAATGACGGGCTACCTATATAATTAAATTGTGACAAGAGCATCCGCGAAATGTGCTGAAATTGTGCTTCGCTGTACGAGCGCGCACGATCGTATTAGAGTCGCGATAGCGCGCCGTAACAAATGCGCACTAATTGAAAAATTGAATGATTTGAGTGGTCGCGTGCTTGGAAAAGCTGCTGGCTGAGACTAAAGCTACCGTGGCTACTGATGCTGTTCGATATCGATATCGAATCGTTCAGGAACGTTGCCGTGTATCGATGAATCCTCAACGTCCGTTTTGTTCCCTGTCGGTCATTGTATCCGATATATTCGTGATTATTTTATTGACATCCAACAAGGCATACTTGTATATTATTCGTTTTTAACCACCATTTATTAAAGCGTTTCAAAACAACCGTTTCAAAGCCGTGCGATATTAAAATTTATCGACATAAAATTTATCTGCGTGATTAGAGATACTATTCAAGTGTTTACGTTGATACGTTGCATATCGAAACTACTCAATATTCCAGTTAAGAATAGTTTTCCGATGATACAATCTTTCGCACCTGCTTCACAAGTTTTTCTACTGTGTATCCAGCATTATATATTATATATACACCATTATATATTATATATACACCTCTGTCGAAGACTGTCTTGCGCGTCAAGGAAGTCTACTTTTTTGTATTTATGCAAATTTATGTATCTGTGCACATTAATGTCTATTGTTTTCATTGCCTTTGACAGATCAGACACGCGAACTTTCGATCGTTACAAAGAAGACGACGTCAAGTTGTTTCACGTGAAGATGGAATTTCCTTTTCTTTCGCTCATGGCGACAGCATGAAAATGTTTGTCGCCATCGTTTTCCTGATTGACCTACCAATCGCTTAATGTGAATTTATGAATGTTTCTCGACGATAAACTTTCAACGCTCGATGCAACGTATTTCGTTATGCACGACGCGAATATTCATACTAACACGTGCAACAAACATCGTCTATCTCTATACGTTGCACTTTTACAAATTTCACTGATGCATGTTTATTTGCCGATACTCGAAGAGAATATATGAGTTACACATGGAAGAGGTACCACCAGCACACGTCGAAGTAATGCCGCGCTCGCGCTGGATTAACACATGTCTAGTTTTGCACATGTCTTTCCTCACTTTCCCCTCATATACGACATATTTACACCGTCGGCGCAAGTAATTACCGATGGGAATGCGTACAGTTATTGCAACGCAAGATTAACGAGAGTTACGACAGGTTTTTACTGTGTCGCGGATGCACAAAGTGATGGATATTTTATATTCAGCTACCAGAGAGCTGTCTCTCAGCGGCTTTTCTCGTTTAATTCAATCGAAACAGAAATCTTTCGAGGCGTACTAATAAAGATATCAAAAGACACGATTGAGTAATTAATGCTTGACAAAAATGACGTTCAGAAAATGTCTCAAACTACAGATGCAAGTGCTTCGCGGTAAAAGTGAAAGATCATCCGTCCTCTTGGATGCCGTTTCACTTGACGTTTCAGTTTTATCGTTCTAAGTGACGCGACTCAAAATGACACTTGACGTTTTGGTCACGAAGACATTGTGTATCGTCAAAAGGATGAGACGCATGGCGCCATGTGTATGATCAGCTCATCGTCTCGCTTAGTCCTTAATTATCCTGTTGGTTTTTTTGATTGAATAATCTTGCGTTGTCAAAGCGAGAAGGCGACAACGAGGAGAGAAGTATATTTATAAAAATAAAAGATTCTCGCGTTCGGACAACTCACCGTAAAGGGGTCCGATGACGACCATAACAATGACCATGAGCACGATGGCTCTCTTCTGACGGTTGTTGGCCCCTTTCTTGAACGCCACGCGAAACGTCTCCTCAATGTGCCGTAACGAGAAGAAGTCCATGACGAAGGCGCAGACCGAGATCCGCTTAGGTTTGCTCGGCAGGGCCTTCTTCCGCGCGCGTTCCGCGAGTACTCGTGGCGGCTCCTTGATGACCACCAGGCCGTACACAAAGCTCAGGATGTAACACACGCTGGTGATGCTGAAGACACCGTAGAAACCGAGCTTCGTGTAGAGTATCCCGGATAGGGCCATGCCGATCGGCACGCCGAACGACAGGAAAACGTTGGCCGCACCGATTCTGAGCGTCCTCGACTCCACGGACGTGATATCCGCTATGTAGCTGAAGATGCCCATGAACATGGTGGACCAGCCACCGGCCAAGGCTGGCCACAGCGCCTCTAACACGACCGCCTCCATGGGTAGTTCGTAGAACCAGTAGGTGCAGCAGATGAGGGTGACGCTGCTGAAGAACTCGCCAATGATCGGCAATAGCATGCAGGGCTTCCTCAGGCCGGTGCGATCGCTCCACGCACCCATGAACAGAATGAGGATGGTCGGCAAGGCGCTTTGCAGCGGAGTCTTCCAGGTCTGCATACGTGCTACCAGCTGTTGAACGGCGGTCTCCTCGGCCTCATAGCCGGTAGTGTTCCTGGCGGACAACGCGGAGCACACTTCGTCCGGGTAGGCCAGGTTCACACGGCACGCCTTTTCGAGAATGAGATTCTGCACGGCCAAAGAGGACAGCACGCTCGGTATCACGTAGCATGCGACCATCGGCTCGACGGTGATATTGCTGGTGAGGAAGGACCATTTTTGCCGTACGCTCATGGACTTCCAGGTAACGGCGCAGTCGGACTTCTCAGCGACGGGGTTCGCTTGCTTTTTCTCGGGTGTGACCCCAGCAGGCGCACCTTTCGTCGTCGTGATCTCGGACATATCTTTGTTTCGTCGAAGGGAGGTGGGTCACTCTACGTCTGGGTACAGGGGGACAAGCGGAATCATATATACGCGCACGAGGGTCTCCGGTTACTCGAACGTTTACACTCGGGAGATTCAAGATCCCACGCGCTGCTCGGCTCGGCGCGGCGCGACTCTGCGAACGACTCTCTCGATGGCCTCCGGAAGTCGACCGCGGATTTCGGTCGGTTGTCGTTTCGCGCGCGCGGAGAGAAATCGCACGGTGGTCCCGCGACTCCCGGCTAATGCACCATCGTGCATTACGAGACGTTCCTCTCCTTCCCTTCGCGCCGGTCACCGCCTGCACCAGTGCGTCCAGCGGTACCACCTCCTCTTCTTCCCGTCTTCGGGGCTGGCTAGCACTCGCTGCCGCCGAGTCCGTTCTCCTGGCTTTAGCCTCCGGCGCCGCTTCTGCAGCGCACGAGATCCGCTTTGGCGTACATCCACCTAGGCACTAAACTGCACGCGGTGTTGTGCCCCTCGGCAACATCGTCGACGTCGTTGTCTCGCGCGCGCGGGCCTAATCGGTTCCTACGGTACAATTCGCGACACGCGGCTAATATTCAACGACCACTCCGCGACCACCGCCGCGGCCGTCGCGTCGCGTCGCTTCCGATTCCGACTGCTCGCGCACCGCGGGATTTTTCGGGTCAAGGTCAGCCTACGACGACGTTCGTGCTTGCGGTGTCCGAGGCCAGGGGTCTTCCCACCGTGCCTTCTCGCCGCGGGTCTCTATTCTCCTGCGACGATCGCTTTGCTCTTAATCATCCTCTCTTTTCGACGCGTCAAAAGCATCGCACTGAAAGCACGGCGACCTTACCTTGACTCGCGGATGTTCCGCGATGGAGCATAACGAGCTCGGTACGCGTCAGCTCTCTCAAAACGACGCCGCGCCGTGTCGCACCTCTAACTCGATCGCGGCATCGGTGACATATCGGCGAATGGACGACGCGTGATGATTATCGTGTTCATCTTCCTGCCTACGGAGTACTTGTTCTTGCGTCGACGGATAATGATCTTCTTCGGCTTCATATATCTCACGATTCGACGGTACATTGTTCCTCCTCGTCAGTAGTGATTGATTTCCGCCAACTACGTCGAAGGATATAGAAAGCGTCGTGCAACGCGTTGAGTAACGCGCCGTGATCCGTCCAAGAGTCGTCGAGAGAAAGAAAGAGAGAGAAAGAGAGAGAGAGAGAGAGGGAGGGAGAGAGAGAGAGCGCCCGCGCGCGCGAGGTCTCTCCTCTCGGTGCGAACGTCCTCGGGCTCAGATGATGCCAACTTTCAATTCGCGAGCGGCTACTGATGAAACCGCGTGATCACCTGGTGTAAGATTTGTTGCGTAAGCTTTCTTCACTGCACGGATCCATCCGAATGACCGGGCGCGCGATCCTGGATCTCCTCTGTCACGTCGCTCGCGTCCTGCTAGTCGCATCAGGCGAACTCCATCGGTGTAGCCGTTAACTTTGGCACTACCCGGAGGTGTTCTCTCCCTTGACGAAGGGTAGCGCGCGAACCTGACACGCGGAGACGAGCATTTTCGGTCCGCCTGGCGGGAGCACGTCGCTTTCTAACGAAAGACGCGAAAGAGATTCGTTATTTTCAGCGGGGAGACAGTCGCGGGTGAGACGCGGCCGACGCTGCACCGGCGGTCGCGACCGACGTCGACGATGTCGAACGGATGGCAACCGAGTGTAAACAGGGAGCGTCGTCGAATCGCTGTCGCGCGTAACTCGACGAGGCGCTGTTAAATGTGACAATTCGTTGATAAAGTAATCGCACGACGCGCACGGTCCCGGCGTTCTCTACTATAGTCGGAGCCTATTTTAGACAGGGCCGTCCACCTAAGTGCGATTATCCGCGACGGTGAATTCGAAAGTTATCTCCGTACGAGTCAACTCCGCCCGCTCGTCACGAGCTGTCAATTGCATTATCGCACGTCACGCGCGTCTCGCAATTTTGCGCGACTCGCCGTGCCACCTCGCCGATATCGCGCGCAATTCTCTCGCGAAATTGTTGCCACAATCGGCGCGTTTGTCGAGCGACGTCCCGATACCTCGGCCCCGATCCAAGAGTCGACGGGATGGACCGTGCGAAAATCGATCGCCGAGTCCACGGCGACGGAACGCGGAGCCGCGAGATCGGCGAGAATCCGCAAGGTCGCGTCCTAGCGTCTAAAGACACCTAGAGGCGGCCCTGGCTCTTAAGTCGATCATATGACGTCGTCAAGTGAGTAATGCTCGCAATTCCAGCGATGCTTATAAAATATTCGATGCAGAGCTGTAACGGCATCTCTGTCTTGATGTTCGACCGACGAGGGTGCATCGGTGGTCGGCATTGCCCAAGAGCCATCTGGCCGATTCCGATCCGCTTTGGCGATCGTGGCGCGGCGGAGTCGCGATTCTGCCGCGGTGATCAGCCGGTGATCATCCACTATGATCGACAACGTCGCGAGATCTATCGATATGTTGTAACGAAGCCATCGCTGTTACACCAGCAAGAGCCTCGCTGCGTTTTCCATTCTATTCTCGTCCGACTAAAGGATCGTCTACAATGCGATCACGGTTACCGCTTCAGTTAGTCGCGGCACTGTCCCGCGAATCGATTATGTATCTGCTTCTTTTGCGTAAACTCGTGAAAAATGTCAAGTTTCATCGACGTATTTGATCGAGCTTTTTATTTCTCATGAGTTTGCGCGAAAAAAATAGACATGCAGTCAATTCACAGACCGGCTGCGACTTTGAAATGTAACTGCGAACTATCCCCAAATCTCTGAGATCGAGGATAGCGGCGATTTGTAACACTAACCGTGGAGTCAGTCAATAATCGATTCCGCATTCAGCGCGTGAAGCCACTTTCGATTTTTTTCCGCTTGTCTATCGAATTAATCGGACAGAAACGATTTCTCTTATGTTTGTTTTTCTACGACGCGAACGCTTCTGGCCTTGTTCGTGGTATGTTTCGTTGATTTTTGCAGACCGTTCCAATTTCGGCTTACGCTTGGTTTACGTTTCGGTTTACGCTCACTGACGATAATGTGACTGGCATATTCTTTTTCTTAATGTTGTGCGTTCTTATGTATCTCGGATAATCATACGATTATCTGACGAGTGCAATTAAGATGTGGAATGTAATTCTATGGAAAGCGATTCGTTTTAGCGGGAAATTATTATCTCGAACGAGGGAGGAAGTACGAAAGGAGAGAGTGGCGGTTTCTTTTACGCTGCAATTAAAACAAAAAATGCTGTTTATTATTATTCATTATGATATCCTTGAATACTTTCAAGATTATTTGCGTTTGCGTAGATGCTGATTTACTCAATGACGGATCGGATTTGTCGCGATTATACCGACTGCCTATGCGGCATATCATTTGTCGCTTGTTCGAGACAATGAGACATGCGATTGTCTAGAGATTTCAATCGCTTTATTTCGACAGATTTTTTACAAGTATTTTTAGAAAAAACGAATTTTGTTCGCGATAATTTGCCATGCGATACGACACGCTTCAACAGATGCAGCGGTTCTTGCCGGATCGATTAACTTCGACCGTGTGTTTAAATTCATATTACAACGTAGGAGTGATGTTTAATCGAGCTAATGAATGACGAGCACTTCGTAATCCTTGAACGATAATTCCTCGCCGTCGTAGGGAATGTACAGACATCCATGACTCGTTTGTACCTGAAGAAACATTTCACGAAATCAATATTTTTAGGAAGTTACACATTATGCAATTTTATATAACAACACACCAGACCGCATAGAATATCTCGTGAGAATATATTTTATGCGACGGGAATGCAGAATTCACGAATCATGCGGTGGCAGTTTCACGAACATGATGTATTTCAAAGATTTTAAGATAACATGTTGCATTTTAGATATTTAATATGTACACGTGCGTACAATGCACCGGCGAACTATAATAATAAACAACTGCCGAAAAGACCGACCTTGCCAATTGTTTGAGATCCGCTATGGAGGACACGGCCAATGTACAGAGGTTCTCCGTCTGAGGTTTGACCGCCGACTACCGCGTCTAGTGGTACTTGACCGTTACTGGCAAATTCCCATGCGAATTCGCCTTGGCAGAGGACCTGGTATTACCATGATATCGTTATTAATTAATAACCGCAACGGCACATTGTTACATTTGCTGTCTGGTTAGTGAAAATGATCAAATAACATTTTATTCTCGAATGACCATATGAAAGGTTTTGCAAAATTAACACAAGATTAACATCAAGATGATTTTATCATCCTGGTTATGAACCAGGATGATCAAACGAAATCTTTCCAATATTACACGCTCAATATATTCCGTTGTATATTGTATACTTGTCGAACGGATTGAACTTTCCATTTGATTTTATCTCCGATGTGAAACAGAGAATATTATAAATTTCGCGCGTGGCTTGAGAATTCGACCGAGAACCGTATCTGGTTCAACTCAATGGTCACTTTCGACAGGAAACTGATATCATCAGATTAGATTAAGACTGAGAAAAAGCATGATAAATTGACCTCCTTCTCTTTAGTGCATTTATAACCGCATAACTCTTCAATTATAAAACTTGTTTTTAATTTAACTTAGATATAATTAATCCTAACTTAGATATGATTAATCCTACTGATCTTTTCAGTCTTCTAGTGTGTACAATATCGTAGTTGTGACGCGTTACGTAATTTAAGAAAACTGTATACAATCATGTCTAACCGTTATTACAGTATCGGAGGAAATCGCTAATGACTATCGAGCGGACGTTGAATCGAGAGTTTTGCTTTGGCAAATTGATCTGTAAATTAGCTGGTAAAGAAAATTGACCATGTCGTGATTTCTGTGCAGGAATCACGGATTGAAAACGATATAATTCCAGTGATTGCAATTTTCCACGCTACGGACATGGCAAAAATGCACTTTCTCTCAATTATCGCGTTTTCACGGTTACTAATAAGTGTAAAGATTGCTTCTATGCATCAGCGTCGGAAGACAATTTTATCGAAGTTACATTCATTTCAGTGAATCTAGGTGCTTGAAAGTATTAGATAATGAAGTGACGCAAAATTATACTCAGTGCATATAGTTACTCGAGGTTTTTCACGTGGAATATGAAAGATTTTACATTGATATTTTTCACTCACCTCATAATCGTGTTTGGGATGTTCCTCGCCTCCGTGACAAATGTAGGCGACACCCTTATCGGGAATCACTTTTGCTGGCACCATGTCACCATCATGGTAAGCTCTACCGACATAAATCGCACATCCGTCCGAATCACGGCCGCCTAAGACCGCGGTATCTGGCAACGACTGAGTGCTGGAGCGACTTACCCACCTGTAGGCTATAATTATGACAGATTATCAGTAATGCCGATATATTGTGCAAATTCACCTTTTCTAGGTGAATTGATTAAACTCCGGTTTTTCGATTCTGTCTCGTTGCATTCTAAAGAAAAATTTTGTTACTTTGAATTTAGTGGAATCTTCGCGTTAACATAAGACTTTTGCAATTTTTTTACTTTGTGTGTGTGATGTTTGAATACGGCTGCTTAATTATGATAGTTTCAGTTTCATTTAGACGCTATAAGTCGTATTCTACGAGATCTGAGTCATTTGAGAAAGGAATGAGGCATTTTATCAATATGCGTTACGTAACACATGTGGCGTTAACTGTAACGCTGATATCGCCAGCCGTTTCTTGTGATCGATATGAGATATATTTTCAATGGAACTCTGCAATCGATAATTTCATGCGAAACTTCGAGACAGTCACTACTGTATTAAATTCTTAAAATTAAAATAGCCAGTTAAATATAGCGTCGAGTTTCGCGCTTAATACGAAGAACAGATTTGACATACAACGGTTCTATATAAAATATGACCAAACAACACATTTTACTAGACACTTTGCCAGACAAACGCACGCACACACCTACGATGATTGTTTTAACATTGAAACGTCGTTAGACTTCATTCAGAGTTAAGGTTAACCGACGCAATATTTTTCACGACATCATTTTTGTTTGCAACATGTAAACGGAGATTAGGAAGAAAAAAGGTGAGATTTGAATTAAAGTTAATAGTAATGAAGAACAGACAGGACGATGGAAATGAGAGTGATATACGAGTACTTTAGTGTTAAAAAATCCATACACGTTTTCGTCTTCATGTAATTCTTTCTTGTGTAAAAAAAATTTGTGCACTAATAATCGATCTTGATAAGCCCACTTTTTTTTCAATTCTGGATTTTTATCGTTATAGAATGAATCTTTTGCATATATGTATTTTAGAAAGATAAATTTTTCCGTGATATTTCTCACTCACCTGGCATCTTGAAGAGATTGATTCAACACGTTTGCTGGCACCAAACTAGATGACGCTTATCATGCCATACGGTACGTTAAAAGCTTGTGTAATCTTATCTGTTGTTAATCTTCTTATTTGCTCACAAATTTCATCTATCTCTGTTATCTTCTGTTTCTCTCTCCCTCCTTCCCTCTCTCTCTCTCTTCCTCCTTCTGTCTCCGTCTCTCTCTCTCTCTCTCTCTCTCTCTCTCTCTCTCTCTCTCTCTCTCT